CTCAGTACTCACCGTCCCCATAACTTCACCCTCATCCAGTCTCCAGCAACTAAGCTTCGGTTTCGCAGGGAGAATAGAGTGCTCAGATATGCACTCCGCCAGAACATGAACGTCGCAACACCTCCACTCGTCCACTATAACCCAGTCAACCTATATATCCTACAGTCACAGTAGTAAACAACGTACCTCACGTCCGAAGATAGGCAGGTCAGCAATTGCCTTGTCCGAGCCGATATAACTGTAGATAATGCGTTAATATAATGAGCAAGCAGAACAAGGAAATACGCACGCCAACGAGCCTTGATGACTGTAATGGAAAGGCTTCAACTTGACCTTGTCTACCTGCTTCTTCAGTTTCTCTGCCTCTTCGCTGGTCTCAGCATGAGACAGGTCGGCCTCGAGTTTGTCCTTCTTCGCAAGTAACTTGAACACGCGTGAGAGGTATGAACCCTGCTGGCTTGCGACCTGGGCAGTTGGAGCGTAAGATGAGGCCGTACAGTCACCGATAGCAAAGATATCGCGAGTTCCCTTCATGCGAAGGTGGTCATCGACGGTAATCCCGCGCTTGTTCGCCTGGTCTTCAGGAAGCTTCGCCATCAGATCCCGTGTTATTTGGCGACTAGTGTTGCCCTGTGAGAAGACACATGAAAAACAGAAACACCAGAACGAGAACATAACATACAGCAGCCCACACAACCATCCCGCATGGCACCTCTCGTTCGACACCATCGGGGCCCTTGAGAACGACGCTCTTCTCGTTGACCTTCCTCACCATGGTCTTCGTGAGGATATCAATGTCGGATTCCTTGAACGTGCGCTCAGTATAGGCGATCAGTTCTTTGCTGAATGAGGGAAGGACACTGGGAAGAGCCTCGACCAGTGTGATGCGGATCCGTGAGGCGAGTTCTGGGTACCATGACTTGAGATCCTCCTTGGAGTTGATGAAGATACACGGTCAGGCGATAGGAAAGGAAGAAGGAAAAATGGCAGTCGTACCTCCAGGAAGTCACGGAGTTCACCACTAAGTTCGATACCCGTTGGTCCACCACCCACTACCACCTGCCAAAGAATGAGTACATGTTCTTGGGTAATCAAAGTTCACGTAGAAGAAACAGATCCATCTATGCTGACAGTAATTCATAGTTCCCTCACAATGGAGGACGAGAACGCAAAACGTGGAGTCACAAGAAAGAGAAATTAGAAAATCGTCAGGCGTACCATATGCAACAACCGGTCTTTCTCCTCGTCACTTTGGCCTGGGAAAGCAGCACTCTCTACACCTATGAGCAGCTATGAGTTGTACATCACAGATAATGAATGACGCCAAAACGCACAGTCCAAAAAGCGTCCTTGCATCTGCAATATATCATTGTATTCAATAAGGTGGCAAGGGGCAGAGGAAGCATAAGCGCACCTTCTCAGCATCATGAAGTTCTTTCATGAAGCATGCGTGCTCCTTCACGCCGGGAATACCAAATGTCTGCGTCTCGGCACCGACAGCATATACGAGATAATCGTACGGTATGGTCGTACTGGATATTTGGCCTCGGATCTCGGAGTCATCTGTGATAATTCAGCTCTCGTTATTATCTGAAAGAATAATGAGGGATGGAAAACACACCTGAGAGCGTAACAGTTTTGTTAACCGGCTATTGTAAACAAAGCACGTTAATCTCTGCTGAGTAATATGTGAGAAGAGACGTACGTCAACTTCCTTGGCCTCTGCTTCAATGACTAAAACCTGACGTTGTTTGTGTCGCGTCAGGTAGCGAGTAGCTGTATTTTTGTTGTTGTCAAAATCTGCAGCAGGCAAATATGAAGGGAACTCACGCTGGAGGATAGATCGTGCATTCAGCGTACCAACTGCCACAGAGGGAAGGAGAGGCGTGAAGAGGAAGAAGTTCTTTGGGGAGACAACGATCTAGTATATCGGCATGCAATCAGCCTGTGAACACGGCATTATTGAATGTGACATACAGTGTTATAATCGCTGGTGTCAAGCCCTTTGAGGAGGCTCGTCGCTCCCCAACCGCTACCTAAGATGACCAAGGTCTTCTTTGAGGGATCGAATGGGAGTTGTAGCCCGGGGTTTTTTTCCTTATGTGCGATGTAGTAGAATGTTGCCGAAGCTGTATGTCAAGATTACATGGTTAAGAGAAGGTCGGACAACGTCCCACGATCAGTCAAAAATGTTGCTTGTCAGAACACAGCACTTGCCTCCGACCACTGTTACGAGTGTCACACGTCCCAGAGTCTGCAAAAAGTATCTCCATCTCCCTTGAGACGGGGGTGGTGGTGGAGTCTATTCATAACGAAGACTTAGGATATCAACGAGAGAGTTGGACACAGGAAACACACCTGTGATGCAGCGGCGCCCGTCGAGGCTACAGACCCTGATTGGGCTCTGGAAGTCGAAGCCGTCAAGAAACGTTTTTGTACATGCACGTGAGAGCGGACAAGCGTCCTGCTCATGGACATAAGGCGGACTGTGCACCGAAATAACCTATTATAAAAAAATTGACTTCAAGTTTGATCAAAACTTACATTGTCGTGCAGCCTGCATCGGACAGAGGTACAGTCGAGGAAGAAAGAGGAGGTTCTGAAAAAAATTAACGGCTGTGTATAACTTAAAGGCGCTTCGGGGAGTCGGGGACGAGTCTTGCCGGAAATTAGTTCAAATGACGATTTCATTCTAACCTTTACCTCCGGCCCACCTCCGTTTCGGCGCCTAAGAAGTGCTTGACCTCCGAGGTCACCCGAAAGGCTCTAGGCCGGTATCAACCTTGCTTTAGCCTTGTTCCAAAATCAATCTATAGTATGCACGTCGGATCATCTAATATTCGAACGCGATGCGTGTTTCGCCTCACTTTTGACTGGCGCATATGACACTTTTTCCTGGAGACGACGCGTTCCGGTTTACTCCCGCAACTTTCGAAGCAGTTCAATCGCCGGACTTCAACGTTACACTTACTCAACAAATCAAATTGCAAAGCGACCGCCTGGCTCCGAGACTATAGTATGAGGTAGTAGTCAACCGGATGCATCGCATTAGTTGAACTAAGTTGTCGGCCGTGGCAGTTGCGCAACTGGGCTGGTCCTTAGACTGTTTCGAAGGCCTGACCAATCGGAAGCATAGCACCATAGGCAGCACCCCCCGATTAGTCGTCCATGGCTGCGCCTTCCCAGCACTTTTCCAGTACTCAAGTCTAGTAGCCAGCCGTACTAGGCGGACTCGGATAGGTCATCATCACTCTATACTTTGCGAACGATGTTCCTACCAGCCGTGGCGCAGCTCGAGGCTGGACCTTCTCTCAAGTATAATGTATAGGGAATCGCCAAATCTTGGAGTCTTAGACTGCCGCAGCTCAGACTCATCATGAAGGACACGAGACCAATAACATTATAGGATCATTCAGGAGCAGACCGGGTCCAATGCGAAAGATAGCACTGCAACTCACACTATTTAAAACATAGTGGCCCGTTCTCCACAATGCGTTGAGTTCTTCGTTTTTCTTCATTAAGAGAAGTGAATTTCTCATGGGTTCCTAACTCTCCGAATCCTCACATTGTCACCGGATGCTAGCTCAATGGCAAGAACGCTAAGTCTGTAGTTAAGTCAAAAAGGATGAGACAACTGGCTCTCTCGTTCTTAGTGATGCATGTTTAACCTCACTTTTAACTGGCGCATAAGACACGTTTTCCTGGACCGAGTTTTGGACAACACGTTCCGGTTTATTCCCGCAACTTTTGGAGCAGTCCAATCACCGGACTTCAGCGTTACACTTATTAATTCGCAAAGCAACCGCCTGGCTCCGAGACTATAGCATGCGGTAGTAGTTAACCAGCTGCATCGCATTAGTGGGACTAAGTCTTAAGTCATGGCTGTAGCGCGGCTGGCCTGGTCCTTAGACTGTTTCGAAGGCCTGACCGATCGGAAGCACGTCACTATGGGCAGCACCTCCTGATCAGTCGTAAATTCCGAGTCATCTTCATGGCTGCGCCTTCCCAGTACTTTGCCAGTACTAGCACTCAATTCAAGTAGCCGGGCATACTAGGCGGACTCGGATAGGTCATCATCGCTCTATACTTTGCGAACAATGTTTCTACCAGCTCGGCTTTTTCTGCAAAGCGTTCACCATACAGGTGATCCTACGTACTACTGGAGGTCGATTACCCTGTGGTGCTTGTATACCACCCCTTCTGGAGAGTTAGAAACACAAGTTTTTACTTGCAGGTAAATATCTTAACGTGATACGTGAATATGGGATCGAGGTGCAAGCCGATCAGAATGATGAAAGTGTCGCTGCCCACGGGCTTTATTGTGTCGAGTCCCATGTCTTTTTCATGAACATTTTCAGGCTTTACAAATTCATCGAAGACGCGCATACATGCGAATCACACCATCCTACGTCTCCTGCTGCAAGATGAACAGCTCATTCCTCAGCTTCGCTCTCTCAAGCGCTATTTCTTCATGACCTCATCGTTCCTCACTCACCTACTAGACCTTGCCTACAGAGCTGAAGAAGCCCGCGAAAGGTGTCAGTATTGTTAAGCTACAGAGTCTGCTCGATCTTGCACTTATAGGGAAAGATATCGCGTTCCGTGAAGATGTGCGAGTTGGCATCGCGAGCAGTGGATTGTATGAGTGGTTGCTCAAGGTCATCAACGTAAGGGGCGTAATTGACGGTGAGGAAGGCGAAGGCGTGGCAAGCTACAATTGATATAATGTCTCTCATTTTAGACGGGAACTGAGAGAACCTGACACGAGTTGGAAAATGCAATATGCAATGTCATCAGATGATAGCTTAGTGGCAAGAACGCTGGGTCTGTAGTTGAGTTAATTTTATTTTGAAAGAGTACGCGAAACAACTGGAATTGTGGGATTGTATTACATGGGCATCCATCATGTCGGCAAGCGAGATATATGTACAGGGAAGTTACTTGTGGGTGAGGCTGCGGCAATGCCGGAAAACTCACATGCGTAGAAATTGTCGTCAAGTTTACTGGTAATGGTAGTTGAAGTCGTCGGCATCAAGTTCCTCGCGCTTCCACTCAGCACTGTTGGTGTACGCGCGGTAACTGTATTGATCACTGTCAAGCTCCTCCCCTTTTCCCTCGACTCCGTTCGCGTACGAGCCATCAAGTCCTTCGCGCTTCTCAACATCTGGCAGCAAGTTACGCTTAGCAACCTCCATAGTGATGAGTGGTTTGAATACTCACCGGAACGTTTCGCAATGGCTCCTTCCATAGGGTACGCTGTAACAAGAACCACGATGGATGCGAGCGCGCTGAGGACGAGAGAAAGCTTCATGTTTGAGAGATGCGACTTGTACTTTGTTGATGGCTACATTGGAATTCTCAAGAGGGCTTTATACCATTTCGCAATTCCCAGGTCACCTGAATTGGTTGAAGCCTTATCCACTCAGAACTTTTGTGAAGGGTTGTTCTATAAGTGGACGTTAGCCTGAGTGTCATTGGAAAATCACTCAACACCCACAATCCCAACGAGGCAAGACCGACACCCGAATCTCATCTTCAAATTGGCCTAGTGCAAGGACAACACTACACTCCCAGGCCCGATTCTCGCATTCGTAAATCGGTCGGAGATCACAATACGCCGAATTCGGAGTCACCGTCGCACCAAAGATACAAAGTCAACTTCAGAGAGCTCACGGCGGACAACCGTTAACGTTAACACAAGGAAATGAAAAAAGAACGACAGTACTTCCTCGCGCAATCCGCAGCACGGTTGATCATGACGTGCCGATCTTGGTCCCTCGAAGGGCACGAATGTGTAATATTAATGGCGATAAGATGTTTTCTGTATCAGCCAAATTGACCCAACGTAAGTCGAGTAGGACACCTGAAAATGCATAGATGATGAACCGGTGACTAAACAAAAGACGATACATATCTAGAGACACAGCTAAGACGCACACATGGTGTAGCGTAGCTAATTTTAGAACTCTGTCCGGCTCTCTCGTTCTTTGGTGATGCGGCGAAGCGAAATATCGGGTGTGCAACGGTCTAGATAGGTCTCATTGGGAATAGAGCAGCGTCAATAAAACCATTCAATAAGTGACAAGAAGGTCCTGGGATACGGGCCCGAACGGCTATTGTGTTTTGTTAGTACAGTATAGTTCTTGCTGCTGATCCTGCCATATTGGGACGAGTCGACAAAAAACATCACCTTAGTTTGCTAGTTCTTCCTGATTTTTGATTGGCAGTCTGGCACCCATAAGGTAGTGATCCGTGCCGTCTTATGCACTAGTACCGACCACGTACGGGTTCGTTCAGATCCTTTCCACCATCGGTACGCGTTTTAGGGCCAAACAAAATCAATGTCTTGAACTAGTACATCAGAGGACTGGTGAGCCTGAGAAAGTTATACACCGGTATATGCAGAGCATATCCTTATTTTTGTCGCTGAAAGCAATATAAAATCATTTACGATGTCGATGCCCCAAAATCAACGCAACGCGCCCTGAAGGACTCATCAGTTCTCTGATGGCCCGCGCTAACGTCAGGTGGCGGAGGCTCTGTCAGAATGCACCTCGCTCTTCCCAGTTGTTATCAGCACCCTCAATAATTGCTGTGTTACTCTTGCTGCAGTATATTTATATTACATCAAGGTCTTAAAAACAGACCTTGATAACAACAATTGCAATGAGGTTCGGTTCCAGGTTCCAGGTTCTGATTGCGGGGGGAGATTGATGTCATTAATCACCGCTCTTGCTGGAACTCGACATGATGCATGTGACGGTCAGGGTGGAGGAGTAATCCGACAGCTCCGGTACAAGAAAAATCCGCAGCCATGCTCTAGTCAGCTCTTTAATTGATAGTGACTCGAAGAAGAAAAAAACTATTACCGGTGTCCCATGTGTTGGCGATAAGAAGTACGAGTGTGCACATGGTACCAGCCTCGGGAGGATTAGTATCCGGACGTTCTTTTCCCTTTTCAATTCGTTATCGCTTCTCGGCACCTTCGACACGTTATGTTGTCCTTTCCGGTGCTGTTATCACCGGTTGCTCTCGGACATCTTGACACTTGATATTTAATATTTGTTTTCCTCGTACAAGGCCGCTATCAGACTCGGGTGCGACTCAAACAACAACAACAACAATCTATACGCTGAAAGAAATGAGTGTTGATACATAACCAGCACTAAAAAATACCTGAAAGAATTGACCGACGCGACGTTAGAGAGCAAGGATGTACCACTCTGTCTCGTTCCTAACTTCCTTTGTCGTACTTGAAGTTGCGCCAAGAACTTAAGAACCTGAGCAGCTGACAAAATATATTATTCAGAATTCAATGTGAGCACGTTAATTCGACTAAACTCTTAATCGCTACCGTTTTCGCAAGATACTCGTGAACTTGAATGTATGTGATGAGCGAGGAACACGTCATTCCCTATACATCATTGTGCATCAGTTGGAGGGGCAAGGGGATGTCAACTGTATCTTCGAAACGAGTAACCGCTGATCGAGGGATATGAAAAGCATGCTCAACAGCCCAATCCAAAATTTTCTCATAGTTCCTGCATTGGTGGCGGGTGTTGAAGTCAGGGTATGGAATCTTGTGTCCCTGAATCCAGTCCCATGTCATCATCGTTACGTCGGCATTGCACATGAGATTCTGCCTGATCATTTCGATGCAATGATCTGTAATGTATACGATGAGCAGGAGGTGCATACATAAATGAACAAACATATGTACCAAGATGCATGCGAACTACTTCGGGTGAGTCCTGGAACGAAATATCCGTGAGTCCGTAATACTCAGACCATGAGGCCTTGCGAAGTAAATTCTGAAAAATGTGAGACATGAACGACTAGACTTTCGGTGTAGTATAGCTTACCAGACAATGGAGTTGATGAGGGGCTTCCATAGATACCATGAAGCCCCCACCAAATTCGGGTGGATATTTGACCTTGGAAGGTGAGTCTACTTCGCCGGCTTTGAGAATTTCCTCAAGTGACATCCGAGTTGGCAGCACTAAGGTTTCATGGACGCGAACAATTACCAATTAAGACGAGGGGCAAAAATTGGGCGACATACCATCGTGAGCTATCCTAGCCCAAGCAGCATCAATTTCTGGGGAAGGAGGGCCACGATAGATAGAAGGAAAGTCGAGCGTTCCATTGAATCTTACGATCGTGGATTCAACAGCACCACTTGCTGGAGCTGTGGCAAATCATCAACACTATGCTAACTGTCCGAGGATGTCTGTTCACTCACAGTATACAGGAATGTCGTCATGCAGGTTGGGCGAAGGCGTGCCCATCCATAGCGCGAAAAAGAGTATCGATGTGAATATCAACGTGCCATGACTCAACATGGGTAACACGCGAAGGATATGCAACTTGGGATGAGTTTCTGCACGGAGCCTTTCCATATAACCAAACGATTCCTCATTGCCGTTGTCGACACAATCGACGGGAGAGTACTGCATGGAATATTTGACCATGACCCTGGGGGAACTCGGTTTGCTGAACTTCGGGGTTGTAGGAATAGTCCAGAACACGCGAGGGTAGATGCGAAAAATTTAGGAGTGTATTAATTTGGAATATGTCCCCCAATCGGCTGTATCTCAGGTGTGTTAGGTTATCATACCGTTAGTGCGAGAATCACATGTCCCAGCGGAGCGCTCGAAGGTATTCAATGCGGAAGCACAGGCCTGGGATGATCAGAGAAGTGAGAAGCCATATGGTTATACGGTACTAGTACTTACGGAGAAGAGCTTCCGGGAACAAGCAATCTCCAGCCTGAGATTGATTCCATCAGTAAAACTCAAACCCCTCTATGTGCGCAGGTGCTGAGTTCCAACTTGCCCACGAGTGTGGCTTTGTTCCAAATGCATCCCAAGTATCTTAAAACCCTATGAACTTCAGATCCTTGTCTTGCGCAAGCCATGCATAAGGAATATTCTGCATCGTATTCTGTTGATGGAGTAGACGATCACGACGACACGAACCTTCTTGATAGCAATACAGAATCAAGACCTCTTCCCAGATCCCGCCCCCTTCGCTGGTCGCCATGGCTAAGCCATGGTGTGCTGATGTTCATAACGATGATGTTCTTCGTGCTATGGGCACGGGCGCCATCCATCGATGACGTGGTTCTGTACTGTAGGTAGACAAGCAGCGTCAACGTACAGGACCTTGCTTACTCGTCATAGCTCCAGCAAACGAGGCGATCGAATCCATCGGTATTGTACGATTCAATGGAACTCTGGGCACCCCTTCTATATATCGTGGCAGTCCGTCTCCAGAAATTGATGCTGCTTGGGATAGGATATCTTTTAATGGTTGCACCCTACACATCAATTACATTATAGATATTTACTGACTGTATTTCCCAGTGCGTCCAATCCGTATGACGCTTGAGCAACTTCTCAGAACAGGGGAGAAGCCCTCTCCCGTCATGGCTAGGTATCCGGAGGAATACGGTGGAGGTTACATGACAACCGTGGAATTCATTCACCAGCTCCATTGCATAGTCAGTTGTAATGCAAAGAGGTTGGTCGATCTTTACTCACTCCCCGTAGGACATGCTTCGCAGAGCCAGCTGGGGTGATAAATACTCGGATCATGACGACCATGATACCCCCGAAGACTACCGCATTCATCTCGGTAGGTACACTGTTTCCTGTCCGGACTACATCTGCTCATGTTGGTTGTGCCTCAGACCACTGCATTGAAATACTCAGGCAGAACGTTATGTGTCGTGGCGACGTAACAATGCTCACTTACGACTGGGTGGAGGGAGTCGAAGATCCTTTTCCTAACTTCAACACTCCTCACCGATGCAGAAACTTCGAGAAAGTTTTGAATTGGGTTGATGAGCATCGTGTTTTTGTCCCTAAATCCAAGATGGTACGCTTTGAGGATAACGTGGACCTGCCTTCCCCTCCTTGATTGCAGTCTCGAAATATTTTCTCCCAATGATGGCTCTCGCGTTACGCGTAGATCACGATATGACACATGTAGCAAAACAATTTACAAATATCCTTGAAAATGTTGCAAAGTCAGATGAAAATCCTATCCCTGCTGAATAAATAAATGATACCATTTGCAAAACACATGACAGCTGTAATGGGGAGCTCAGCGCGAGGGTATATGGAGACGGGTTAGCAGGAGAGTAGGGCAGGTATGATCAAAGGTAACTCACAGAGTCTTCGACGGAGCAGGCTGCGGTACCATCAACTCCTTCTTCACTTTCACCTTGATAACTCCCGGGTCATACAACTCCCTCAATCCAATACTAACCGTCTTCTTCCTCAGCTTGAAAATATGCCCGCCCTCGATATCATCCACCAGGGCTTCACGTTTATTGTTACCCTTGACGCTTGGAACCTCATTCCGTGCAGGAGATCCCGATGCATGATTCTGGACATATTGCCAGTCTCCTGCGACGCCCATCGTTTGACTGATATCCGCCGCTGCCTTAGTCCGCTCCGCATCAGGATCAGCGTATCCTAGCGATGCAGGCGTCGAGTAGTTGGCATATGGATTTGTTTGAGGCTTCTTTTGCGCAGGTGTTGCAACAGGAGCACCACGTGAAGATGGCCCGACCCCCCCAAGTCCAACACCTACGTCTTGAGCGTATGCGGCGGTCGCGGCCTGAAGCGTAACTTATTAGTGAATATATATGCAAATTGGAGACAAACGCACTTTGTTGATCTTCTCCATCTCACGTGTCTCCTCGGCCCTATCCTTTACAGCTTTCTCACCTGGTAGCCTTGTACAGCCCGCGTACAAACCGTTCGACATTGCCTTTGTGACGGACTCCATTCTCGTGGTGCTGCCTGGATGGAACATCGTCTGCGATATAGATGTTACAATACTTACAGTGATGACGTTTGCGGGACACCCAATATTCTGACATTCTTAAAGGACGGTGCGATTTAAGGACAACTTGAAGGACGTGCGATTTCGAAATTCGTGTGACTTGTCATGTGCGCGCGCCACTTGCGCTCCAACAACTTCTTGAACGTTGAACACTTGTATCACGCTCTAATATTCACGGTTTTGTCTTGTCACTTCTTGTCCGAACCGTTCAGTGTTTCGCTACGATCTTCATCGACGCATCATCTCAACTTGAACTTTGAGAATCCGTTCTTATTCTCAACTCTCGTACCATGAACTGAGTTCATCGTTCTTATGGGCAATCTGATAGCCATATGTGCTTTGCCTATTTTCCCGCCACCTCCATATCTTGCAGAGTTCCTGAGTTCCGACGAACGTGATTTATTCCATCCCATTCGAACGCTACACCGATCGACCGGACTCCTAGGTTTGACGCGAGGCCAATGTCCTGAACCTTTGCAGTGGTGAACCAACACTGCAAATATGAATTTGGGTAATTACGAAAACTGTGTGCCCATTCGACCAGTTTAGGCTGGAGCATCGTCGACGACTTAAGGGTGCAGACGAGCTGATGCGATTCAGGATATAACACCTACATGACGCGTGCTAGAATGAGCTCTCAGTCGGAGAAGATGAGATGAAGGAATTGTGCGTAGTTTCACCTTTCGGCTATTTTTCTCTATTGGTCTAGCTTAGGGAGACTAGCAATTACCTATCGTGAGTTTTTGTCATATTATTTTCATAAACCTTCGATTTGAGGAGATGTCGCAGATCCAGCTCGCGCACCACCCTATAAAAGTGGAAATAAGATATGTGACGATAAGAAGTTAAGAACAGACGCGTTCTCTATATAAATCACAGCCTTCCCGTGTCATAGAAATCTCAGTACTCACTTGAAGTTCCATGCGTTCCGCTCCACTCATCTCCCGCGTTCGTCTCATCACTGTTTTGTCATATATATATCATGATGAAGCTACTCGTACAATCATCCGAGATACAATGGCAGGCTGTTGTTACATGTACATGTATATGATCTACATAATGTTCGCAAATGGTGACTGACCCTCTAAAAATAATGTCCATCCACTAAATCTATCTGGCAGAACACAGAACAGGTCGCAACTGTACAAATGCCGCTCAGGCACTCCCATCTCAGCGCACACAGATGATATTTCTGCGAAGTATCGTGCAGCTAACGCGAAGTTACCACGCACAAAGGCGATCTCCCCCAGTCCCCGTTTGCTATACGCCTTGTAATCAAGTTGTCCTTGAATATCACAACCTTCAATGGTAGCTACGAAATGGGACTCGGCCCTGTCGTATGCGCCTGCAGTGAGCTCGATGCATGCCATACCATAAGATCTGTGGAGAAATGCGAATGCACTGCGCAGCTCGAAGAATTGGAGAGATTCTGGGGCTTTGTAGATGAGCTCCCTCGCAAGGGTATGATCCCCCTGCTTGCCTGCAACAACAGCCTTCAACACGGAATACCACACGGCATCGTGTGAACGTTCTCCCTCGAACATCTCTACAATTTTCTGTAGGATATCCATGGCTTCGGATAGCTTGCCTTTGCAAAATGCCACCTCTGCAAGCCCCACAAGTGCGTCGCGGCGGGCGAGGGAGACCCGAGTATGTGTGCATTGTAGGAGAAGGTTTTCTAAGTGCTCGTGCACCTGGACAATGTCTCCCCCGTGGTAAAGTTTGGCCCGCCAGTGCTGAATCTTGGACCGCAAGCCATAGAGGTGATCCGAGTCTAAGGACTTCACAAATAATTCGTCCGCAGGTGCTGTGAATGTGCACATCCGAGCATCATCCAAGAAATACCAAACTTGGTCTTTCATTGGTTCACTGAGATACTCCCACGACTCGGAGCGTTGAAAACCGTCCAAAAGCTGTTGGTATTGGATGAAGCGGCCTTGACATCTGCATAGGTCTGCACATTTGATAACACATGCGGCCACTATTTCGTGGTTGCCGGTGGTGAGGTAGAGTGCCTCAGCAGCTTTGAAAATCTTCATTGCGTCTGTGAGCTGGGAGAGAGTGATGTAGAGGCAGCCAAGATGCCACAAGCAATACGCTTTGAGCTCATACGTGGAGGAGTTCTCGACGACATTGAAAATAGCGGGGGCAAGGGTAGTTGGGCGAGGAAGATGCCACTTCAAGCACAACAAAAATTTTGAGCAAGCGTGATAAGTCTCCTGAGGGATATGGGCGAGGTCAAAAGCAACGACACGCTCAATGTTGAAGTGATCCGAGATAATGATATTAGCATGGCCGTCTTGTTCTTCCGAACACTGCTGGACAGTGCGATAGTAGAAGGTGCGTATCTCTCGCAAACGTGTGGAGTCAGGTAGTGGCAACGAATCTTGCACATAATGTCGAATGGGTGCGAGTACCTTGATGAAGTTGTCTTGACGATAAACAAGAGATTGCATGCGTAGAACATCGCATATAGTGTCGACGTCTTGGAGTGATGGCAACAAATCGCCAGCCAGGTTGTCGTTGAGACCCTGGGGCAAGAAGGCGATTATGGCTAAAGTACGACGACCATCCTTGCCAAGAGCTTGGATGGATGGTGAGTCGAGTGACAGCTGCATGGTGTCCGACAAGCTTTGCAGCTTTCCCTTACCGGGGTTGAGCAAGGCGCTGTGCCGATTGTTCCATCTCTTCAGTAGTACGGCTGAAGACCAGTCATTTTGCCGCGCAGTGTGTGCGAGTAAATTAATGGAAAGGGGGTGAAAATCCAACTCCCTGAGCAGGTCCTTTATTTCTTCCTTGGCATCGCTGCAACGGGCGCGGGGATAAGTTTGAAAGAACACTCTTTCTGCAGAACTCAAGTCCAATGGCGGAATGTCCCTCGTTCTCCATAGCACATCTGTTGCATTCCTTCGACTGCGTGACGTGAGGATCAGGATGACACCATGGATGTCTGCAATCTTTGCGATTGCTGGTGGTATTTTTTCGAGCGCTGACAACGCACTGGCCTCTTCAAAGGTCTCAGCATTATCAAGGACGACAAGGGAGCTAGCGGAATGAAGAAAAGTAGATATTGGGCGCAAAGGATCAGCGCCAGTGATCTCTATGCCAAGGGCCCCCGCGAAATGAGTCATGAAAGTTTCGAATGTGATAGTCGAAGGATCTAGATCGTCATAAGCCACAAAGAAGCGCCGATCAGTAAATTTTTCGATGATAAGTGGCTCGTGAAGGATGGCTTTGGCAAGAGAACTCTTTCCCATGCCTCCCGGACCGATCAATGCAATGTGTTCACTGTTGACAACGAGGGTCGTCAACTCTGCCACGAGATCATCGCGGCCATAAAACATGGAAGGTCGTGATGGAGGCTCAATTGGCTGATCCCTGACTGCATTTAGAGGACACCCACAACCCGCAGAACATGACAACTTACTTTAGAACATTGACACTGGTTGAATTGCCGTCGATTCGCAAAGCGAGCTCATCCAACCTCATGGCAATGCCAGGGAGCTCTTTCACCCTCATGGCAATGCCAGGGATCTCTTCCACCGTCATGGCAATGCCAACGAGCGTTTCAGTCTTGAGATGACATTCAGCAACAGAAGTTCAGGTCGAGTCACAGAGACGCACATCGAAGAGTTTGAGGGCACTGTCTATGTCCTTTTCCCAACTAGCAATCTGGTCGCGATCAATCGTGACAGATAAGATACTCTTGAACCATCCTTGCTTCTTCCTTGAGATTACCTTATTATTGATATCGTTAACTAACCTGCTTAGCGTTGTCAGTTTCTAGGACAGTGAAATTTGGTTTGCCTACGAGTTAAGCTCTGATAAAGCATGGGCCAAGTATCCTGGAAGATTGTCGTCGGTAGTGTCCTTGGTTGCTCTCTCGAGAATTTCCCCGATGGTCTTACATTTCTTCACTATCGCCTGGAAATCGGACTTGTTCTTGATCACCGACTATACGGACGTGAGGATTTTTTTAACCTCATTTTCAAGAGAGTGACACCGACGCACCTGCACAGTCATCAGAATACTGGCGACTGTTCCGAGTACACCCTTCGCCAGGTCACTAGGCACGACGATTTGTACGGCACTGATGCCTGCTATAGTGACATCCAGCAGTTGGCTCATATTCTTGGCCTGGGACTCAGAAGAGGCTTGTTTAGTATGTGGGTTCTATCATGATGTTAGATCAAACAGTGACACCCAAAGACGTTCCTTCTTGCCTTCGATTTTTTGGATTTTGTTGACTTTGGGCTTTTGGATGGCATCACCTCAGGCTGAAGTTGTGTGGTAGATCCTGAACTGTATTCCATTGGGTTTCAGTCGATTATTGAGTGAGCGTCTCTGCCTGCTTGTGTCGACGGTGAGAAACAGCACAGCATAAACGTATAACATCCCGGCGCCTGATACTATCCTCTGCTTCTCGCCAGGGGAAGCCTAACCAGTGACTCTCTATTAGTTGATTAGTGACCACGCTCGCACCAAGTTTTCGAAATTTCATGACCTTGGCACTGCGGCGTCGCGTCCTATGTTGAAACTAGCATCTAAAAGAGTCGAGTTGTCGAAAACGAGTTCGAACGTTGTTTTGAACAATTCGAATTCGGTCTAGCGCAGGGCGCGCATTCGTAAATGTTGTTTTCGCTCGACCGAGAGAAAAATACCATTCTGGGACCGCCGTTGTAGTAAAAACATTAGGACATGGTCCAAATATATAAAATCAATATTTTCACGAGTGATACAACTATTAACTACTAGAATGTGAATATATTAGTGGTATAGTACATGCGTTTATTCGAAAACAAAATCAGATAGTTCGTCGTTAGTTTGTTGCGAGCGCCCGCAAACGACAATACTATCTGTAAACTCGTCAAAAACAGACTTTTCATTGTCATCGAGCTGATCCAGGCTCAGAACAATATTCGTGAATGTCGAAAATGTCATCTGGCATCAGCAAAACCCTAACCCTATGTACAGCACTGCACAACCCTGCACAGCATCACAGCGTCACAGCAAGGTCCCCCCATGCACCACCTGGCTTTCCCAATAAGTAAGCCTTATTAAGCTTGGTGAATACGTGTCTCGCCTAGTTTAATTAGGCTCGGATGTAGTGAAACTCCAACACCAGCATTAAGTACTGCCCCAAAGGTCCTTTTTACCTTCTATCCCTACCAGCCAGCCCACCAAAAAGAGTAAGCAGTCCTCGGCTATACATCCCGCCCTCTCTAACTGTCGGCACTGTCCGTAACATCCCCGATTTATCCGAATCTCGCTCAACAACGGCTTCCCATGCCCCTCTGTTCTTACTTCCACACCGTCGACGTCGCTGGGTGGTATAGCCAACAATAATCACCAATATAAGTGGCTGGGCGCTGCTCTAGCCATCGCTCTAGCCCTTCTGCAAGCTTATTCTCTCAAAATACTTCCCGGATCTTGTCCTATCGACCTGCCTGTCCTGTATGCTGTCCTTCTCATTCCTTCCCCCATCAGAGGGCGCTCAGACCATGCTATCAACTATGTCCCATGGAGTTGGTTCCTCCAGACTCAAAGGGCTCTCTAAATCTGTCATCTCCCACCATTTCAGAGGACAGAATTGCCAGTCTCGCATGTTGATGGCTGGCAAGCAAACCCAGCGCCGTGAGGCAGCCGCAGCAAGTCGCCAGGCTCATATTCAAGGTACGTACTGTAGAAAATTTTCTTGCTGTTTCTCACTCTCATAACTTCCGTGCAGAAATGTCAGCTGAGGACCGCGAGATGGTTGAGGACATGATGGACGACTATGGTGTGAATATCGAGCCATTACCCTACAAATTTCCCTACTGTTCTCGCTCTCTTCTCACTATTTCCGCGCAGAGAGTGAGATAACCATGTGCTTTCGATGTGATTAGCCTACTGGAGTTCCTGATGTTACCACCCACTTATGTTCCTTCGCGAAGTTAATAAAATCAAGCAAAACATATGTTATCACTACGTGTCTGAAGGTTAACTCTCGTCAAAGTAAGGAATTTGTATAGTGAAAAGATTCGAAACAATTGAAGGTGAGAACATAGGGCAGCATACATTCAGTAGCATAGTCTAAAGATTCGAAACAATTGAAGGTGAGAACATGGGGCGGCATACATTTGATAGCGTAGTCTAAATATACGAGGCAAAAGTATCAGGATGTAGAGCTGAACATATCACAGTTAGAGAAATCAAACATAGGAAAGTCAAGACCACGACCAACAGATGATGGTACAATGGTTGATGGGCCATCTTGGGGTATGGGGCCAAAGATTTGGTCTAGCTTAGCCAATGCGGTGTAGAGACTCATGCCTCTCATGGTGTGATATGGCACTTTTCACTAGGGAGTTCATTGCACGAACTTGCAGCACCATTCTGTGTGCTATCTGCAGCTATCCCTATATGAGGCGCAGCTTTCCTGCGCCATGCGCGCACCATTCCCACGCTTCGCGATGTATATACGTGCACATGTTCCTGTGCTTGAGCGCCATATAGCGCCAGCCACCCAGAAGCATCCATCCACTGTCCACCAAGCTCTCTAGTGTGTATATTTCCATTTCCCTTATTTGCATATCGTTCCACCTTTATATTTATCATGGACTCTCACTCATATATATCTTTACATACCTTACTCGGAAGCGCTTCGGCTCCACATGACAGTGCTTAAGCGCCATATATAAGCACCAGCAGTACATACTATTACTTTTGGGAACTTATTTTTTTGGACCTCCCACTTACCACCCACATACTACCTAGCAGAGTATAGTTGCAATCTATTCCTTGACACCTCGTGCTCATATCTCTTGTCTTGCATCATATCACCACTTAAGCAAACTCACACTTACTCTCACTTGTTTCCACTCACGCGCGTGCGTGCTTCCCACGCCTCGCGCGTACCTTCGCTTTCCCGCGCTTCGCATTGGCCAACCAGTAGCGCCTTCAGCGCCTACTTCTAGAACCTTGCTGCACTTGCTTCCCCTTTAGGGTCGAACACACTTGTCTTCTCAAGAATAGCAGACTAGGCAACGCGCGACCTCACAACATTATAGATACAGTCAGGAGCATCATTTGTTCCTCTCAGTATTGTTGTACCTACAGCGGCTTCACAGTCGAAGGGAGGGCCATTGGAGGTAGAGCCATTGAAGGTAGAATCGTCGAAAGGCAGAATGTCGAAGTTAGAACGTGAGAGAGCAAGAGCGTCGGAATCGTTGCTGAACTGAGTACTGCCAGGTACATGAGGGGTAGGGGTGGTGTTGGAAGTGCCATCAGACGGCTGATGAGGAGTGTCCTCTTCCTCTTCCTCGTCATTTTCCTTGTCAGTGTCTTTGATAGTTTCTACACTCTTGTACTTCTTGCAGCGGGTCGAGTTTCCATTGGCAGTGGCTGCCGGCCTCTTATGTTTCTTGCCTTTGTCAGATCAAATCCGTCGGTGAGTATCTTCGATCTCACCACTCTCGAGCTTCTCATTGTGCTCCAGATGGATTTTCTCAAAATCTTTGTCGGTCAAAGTCTTCCAATGTGTGGTACCCAACTCCCACTTCCGAAGGAGCATCTCAAGCTCAGGGAGGGCGCTAGATACCTTGCTGAGGTTCGCAAAGGGAACATTTTCGGGCCACCCTTCTATCACGACTTGGTGATGTTGAACGACATTCCAAAAATAGTAAGCCCATTGCATCTTGGCATCGGAGTCGCCAGTGACCTCCCCTATAATACAGTGTAAGTGAATGTACCAGAAAAGAGGGGGAGGAACTTACGAAGAGTGCAGTTGATAATGTCACAGATGGACGAGTGTACATCAGAGACACGTTGTTTGTGATTTTTTGCAGCCCCTGGATGTAGATTAACATAGAGTGAGAAGAACAAAGAGCCGCAGCCACGAACCTCTCATGCCCTGGACAGCAAAGCCTTCCATTTTACTGATCAAATCTTGATTGTCGATACTCATCACAGACTGCATGAAGTGTTGTACACCTTCCATTGCAAAGGTTACACCTCGGAGGGGGGGATCGGTTGACCCACACATCACATATAGAATAGTTTCTGCACCTGTGCGACAGTTCAAGCTATTGAGCTAGTTATTAAAATTACCGTTAGCGAAACTACAAGATGAAAAACAGTAGGGGACACGTACTTCATTTTCAACAGCCTTTAGAGTTTGAGTGATGTCATTGATCTTCGACTTGGTGGAGGTGTGGAAACCAGTCATCTTCGTCAACTTCTGTTCGGCATACTCCTTGACCAGGTCTTGTTGTTCTTCCTTCGAGAGGGTATAGTACTCGGCCTTATGCTCACGAACAAGCTGCTTGAGTGCATGTCTGCCCTGGTCACCTGTAGCAGATACAATTAGTGCATGAATAGTGAGGGAGAAACCGACGAACTTACGATTCTCACTGTCCTGGTTTTTTTTTCCAACAGAACACATTCCACACATTCAGCTTGGAGTGCCTAGAGCGAAGTATTCCATGACCAATGTACAGGTCATTCTGCACACGGCGAACACTTTTATGGTGTGCTGAAGCGATGGTCTTCGTAGCATCGTCAATCTGATCCCAAGCGTTGTCAAGTGCAACCTTAAACTGACGGGACTTGGTCTGTCGGTTGGCATTAAGTATACTGCATGCTTCCTTGCTCAAAATGACCTTGGGACGGATGCGAGGCTGCATCTGAACGCGCCTCAGGGTGTTCTTGTTGTTCTTGTTGGTGTACAAAGATTGAAACAGCATTGTCTATAGAAAAACAACAAAGGGAAGTTAGTGATCAGAAGTCCAGCTCGTGTTTGAATATTTAACACACGGAGACATTGACTTGTCCCCCCGATCCACGATTTATGGTTGGGCCGCATTGAAATGACACATTGCAAAATAAGATTCCGGCATAATCTACAAGATTATAAACAATCCAAAGAGGTAAAGCATGCATAAAAACACTAGAATACCAAGGCATTTCAAAATCACCAAGAGAATGGAACATTCATGCTAGCAGCCGATTACTTTAGCACTAGCACTATGCGGGCACAGATTTGAATTGCGAACCTTAACAATCTCAGGGTCAAACAGTACACCTTGAAGGTCCGCAAGCAGTGCCCTTGACAAGAGTGCAGCTTGTTCATAAGGCAGGTCCCATGCCTGAGCCCTCAAGACAGACTCCCAACGACTGCTGCGCACAGTTTGGATTAGCAGACGTAGCTTGGGTAAGACCTCATCGCCCAATTTGAAGCGATCTAGAATGGCATCCATATTGGGTCCGATACTAATGAGTGGTGGATTAAAATTTGTGGCATCATGAGCGAGTTCCTGTTGAGCCAAAAAAGTTGGGCCAGTGTCTCTATCGGCAACAAATACTTCTGCTTGCCGGCATTGGCGAATCTGCGAACGTGGAGTTAAATTACTGGCCTTTGTGGCAACACTCGCTGCCCATTCAACTCCCTCACGAATCGCTGCAGACGGCAGCTTCTTTGAGTCTGCGTGAGCAAGAGACAAAGTTTGCAAGTTCTTCACAAAGGTCTTGGGTGCTTGCGCAGAGCACACGATATGGGCACCGGTGGCAACAAGGGGTGCAGGGAGATACTGTGGTCTGTCAGTACTGATATGAGTTGCGGGGACTTTGGAACTAAGTTAATAATTGAAGAAACAACAACAGAGGGACTTACAGTGCTTCGGCGGTTTGACATTTTCGATGTTGCAGCGCTTGGTGAAGCGCTGCAGATGAGAAAGGGGTCATACTGGCATGCATGCGGAAGCACAGCTACTCTATACATCATTTGAGATGGCCGCTCTATTGGTTCATGACACACTCATACTGTGTGGCAATGTTGGGAGTCGTTGAAGTAGGCTGGGCGTCATCGAAGATGACCGCTCTATTGGTTCATGACACACTTGTACTGTGCAGCAGTGCTGGGAGTCGTTAAAGTGGGCTGGGCATCATTGAAGATGGCCCCTCTATTGGTTCATGACACACTCATACTGTGCGGCATTGCTGGGAGTCATTGAAGTAGGCTGGGCACCATTGAAGATGGCCGCTCTATTGGTTCATGACACACTTGTACTGTGTGGCAGTGTTGTGAGTCGTTAAAGTATGCCGGGTGGTGGGGATGTTGGGCACTTAGGAAACTGCTAACAGCAGCGGATCAGAAATCCAATGCATTCAACTATAACAACTACATGTAAAAAGCAGTTAACTAAACATGTCAGTCAGTGATGGAATGTAAAAAATCAGCCATATCCTCCATTGTCGTGTCGCGCTGTAGGGATTCATTTCTGGCTGGGCTTGTAGAGACTGTTTTTACCTTACCTTATGTTGGCACTTTTGTAGCTTACATAAGCAAGTTATCTTTTCACCAGTTACCAGTAGGAGTCAGAGTACTCAGCAAGTTTTCATGATATTTCCTCTCCTCTGAGTCTTGAGCCTGGTCCAGAAACCCTTTAGGGTCGAATAGCAGCTAGGTTCTGCAAGACCCAACATTGTTCAGACTCACTCTCTGAATTGTTGTTTCTTCAACTGGAGCCCACCGCGAGGGTTTCTTGTGTTTCTAGGCTCTCTAAGCTCACCAATCATCCCACAAATTCGCCTATTATCCAACCACAGTCATTCATTACCAGCTTCTCCCACAATTCCCACTTTTCAGCATCTTGTCCTCCTCACCAGCGCACTGATAGGTGTTTTTCCCACGCGTTTTTCGAGCGGATCTCTCGCAAACTTAGAGTCGTATTTCCCACGTCCGTCCGATCATTTTGAGCCCTGGTTCATCGAATTTGGAGCAGTAGTTGTGGAGTTATTGAGTTTTTGGTGTTTTTGAGAAGTTGAGGGGAGATAAGGGTTTTCTGGGTGCTCAAAGGCCTGTCTCATCTAGCTCTTTTGGCCATTTACCATCCCTCAGTGGCTCTGTCCATTGCCCCAATCCGCTTTTTGATAGGACCAGCCCTTGTTGCCCTGCATCATACCCCTTCCTCCTCCTCCCTCTTGCACCTCCGCACTTTTTCGCACTTTCACCAGCCCATTTCGCATCGGAACCCCATAGACCCTATACCCGTTTTGAAGCCCTCGTTCATGGCTTTCATTCGCGCATATCCGCGCCTTCGCGCGCTCAGCTGTTCGCTCGCTATCCGCATTTTCGTGTTCCCCCCATTTGTTTCGCCCCAATTTTTGCGTTTTCTTTATATCTTGTCGCCCCGTGATCGCGCGCCCATCGCCTTAGGCGCGTTCTGACCGCATTCACCGCCGCTTTCCATCCATCCGCTCCGCTTCCAGATACGCCCACCTGCGCCCTCGCTACTCGCCATTTTCGCTATTTTTGCATGTTTTCACCATTTCCTTCATATCTCCCTCAGTTCTTCACCAAACCTAGTCGACCCTATACTCATTTCGAAGCCCTCGTTCGCCTCTTTCGATCCGTCTACTTCCCGTCGTCATCCGCGCAACCACCACTTCGCATTTTATCGTTTTTATCGTTTTACCAGTCCCCCAGTACTGATGCGGTTCGCCTGGCACAAGAGATGTCAGGGAAAACAGGTGCTGGGGTCATCGTTTTATTGGATTGCCCTGACCCTCACTCACTGGCGCAGTTTACCTGGCATACGCGTCAAGGAAACAAAAGGTGTTTGAGGACCCCCAGGTTAGTAGTTTTCTTAGTTTAGCTTAGCTTTGGTTTGCATAGGTAGATGACTGGGGACAGTCATGATTCAAAGTTCCCATGAGATGTAGGGATTCATTTCTGGCTGGGCTTGTAGAGACTGTTTTTACCTTACCTTATGTTGGCACTTTTGTAGCTTACATAAGGAAGTTATCTTTTCACCAGTTATCAGTATGAGTCTGAGTCTTCAGTAGTTTTTCATGATATTTCCTCTCCTCTGAGCCTTGAGCCTAGTCCAGAAACCCTTTAGGGTCGAATAGCAGCTAGGTTCTGCAAGACCCAACATTGTTCAGACTCACCATCTGAATTGTTGTACCTTCAGCGCTCCTCGCGATCAATAGCATCCATGTCAGTATAGTCAGAGCTGATAATTGCACCAATGTCATCAACATTCTGCATTGCTGCTGTGAGATAAATTAGCTTGAAATCGTGTGATGAGAGAAAAACTTGCCTGGACTTGCATGGTCATTGAGAGTTGTCGAAGTATGCTGGGCGGCAGTCGTTGGAACACAGACACCGATGTCATCAACATTCTGCATTCCTGCTGTAAGATGAATTAGCTTGAAATTCGTGCAATGAAGAGAAACTTGCCTGAATCTGCATGGTTATCAAGAGTTGTTGTACTATGCTGTGTGGTAGTTGTTGGAATATGGACACCTACACCCCTAACACATGAGAATCCAGCAAGGCTCTCGATACGATCTAAGCGATAGGAATGTACTGCATTGATAGCGGCACGCGAACGCCAATGGTGCTGCAGCTCGCAAGCAAGCCTTTGATCTGAAATGAGTAGATCCTGTATGATGGCAGTTGTTTGAATTTCTTCAGTGTGAATGGCAGTGCGTAAGCGGCGAATTTCAACGTTAAGTCGCGTAACTTCTTTATGAGCTCGACATAATTTGAAATACTTAGTAGTTGCTTTGCGATGGGCTGGTTTTGCCCAATCGTTGGTCCGAATATCAGTGCGCAAATGGCGTAAAAGATCAAACTCGCCAAGAAAACTGTAGTCAGCAATATCTTTCCATAAAATCTTCGGATGTGGGGGGTTTAGAGCGACTGCCTGGATATTGTAACGATTGATTGCATTTCGGATAGCCTCAGAATGCTGTTGCAAAGCCTTGCTGATCTGCTGACATAGCTTATACCCTATAAAAATATGTCAATGGATTTTTAATCCCAACTCGCAACTCACCTGTCCCTGACAATGACAGTTTGGAAAGCTCGAATAATCACATGACTACTAGGTGCTCCAACTCATTGAGTGCAGTGCGATACTTTCCAAGACGTGCCTCCATCTTGAACTGGTTGTATTCTGGCCCGCCTATCTCCCATCGTGCTTCCACAGCTAGCTGTATTTCTACATGTGCCACTAGCGCTTCAGTGTGCTGTAATTTGCGTATGAGGAGTCGACACAGATGTGAGCTTGGGCAAGTGCTTGATTGATCTTCTCCAAGCTGCTGGCAGCGATGCCAGTAAGGGCATTATTGGCTGCTTGGCGTGCTGAGTCCCAATCAGTCCTAATATTTTCAAGTTAGATGCATTTACATGGAAAAATAACACATAGTACTCACCTCTGTTCGGCTAGTTCATCAAGTGCTTCAACATAGCATATACAGATCTGGTCTCTTGCAGGTGGCTGCTTCAAGCTATCAAGATAGGCGAGTTCTTCCTGGAGGTAGTGAGGGAAGTCTTCATCGACAATATTCAGTTCAGCTTTGATAGCAGTCAACTCAGCAGTGAGGATTTGAACCAATTTAAGAGCTTCTCGATGGTGGTTCCACAGAAAGTTGCCTAATGGACATTAAATAATTTCATCATTGAGGAACAACGTTAGAAAGAGCTTACTGAGAGCAGCATATTTATCATCATTCCAAAACGTGAAGTGTTGTTCAATTGTCTGGTGCCAGTGGAATGTGCTTGCATGTCGGGTGCCACGAGCAAGTGCATTTGATGCTGAAAATATATGTTCGCAGCCCTCTCCTTCGCTGTGTCCAGTTCCCATAATATATACTGGATGCCAATCAAGCTGACATTTCCGATTGTGGGCATGCCCGTGAAAGGCACCGACCATGAGACGAAAGCCAAGCTGGCGCGCTCGCGGCCCCAGAGAACTATTACCTAGTGTTTTTGTGAATGCACATCCGATATCATAAGCACAAGCTCCATCCTTGCCATAGACAGTAAGGAGCTTGTCAAGAATGGCAAGCGGATATTTCGACCTAATATATCAGTAAAGCTTAGTTGACAAGCAAAAATGAACCTACAATTCTCCGCTTCGGATCATGTCGCAAGCTAGAAGTACGAAGCGATGGCGACACACAGCTATGAAAATGCCCAATTCATTGAATACTGAAAACATCTTCTTGCGTACTTCGGGGCCGGCGTTTTTCCACCGATCTGCACAGCTGAATGAACCAGGGTTGATTTCAACTGCCGGATCATCCTCCCAATTACTGCCTTCGTCTGGTGCCACCTATACATCATATTCAGAGGGTTATCAAGCAAACAATGAACACGTACCGTTCGTGGTTGGACTTCACCATTGAACTTGTCTACAGTCCCAGGATCAATCCAAAAATCAGAGCGAGCCTTATGAGAGTCTAGTCATGCACTTGTCCCATATATTGTAGAGTCCCATCTCTTCAGACTATTGTTGCCATTGATTGACACGAGCCAGTTGAATTCCAGTTTGGGCTCATCCTCGAGTACATAGAAACATGCTGGGCATGAGTTGAGAAGGCGCCAATGCGGAGTATTGCATTTGAGGGCTGCACAAAGACGCTGATCAACACGATAAAGAATTTCGACATATACATCAAAAGCAGCTGATAGTTGCATGGTGAGGTAAGGGCGGTGTAGAAACAACTATACAGAGAGGAACAAATGATGCTCCAGACTGTATTTGTAAATGTTGTGAGGTCGCGCATTGCCTAGTCTGCTATACCTGAGACGACAAGTGCGTTCGACCCTAAAGGGGAAGCAAGTGCAGCAAGGATCTGATAGTAGGCACTGAAGGCGCTACTGGTCGGCCAATGCGAAGCGCAGGAAAGCGCAAGACGTGGGAAAGCGAAGGTATGCGCGAGGCGCGGGAAGCGTGCACGCGCGTGAGCAGAAACAAGTGACAGTAAGTGTAAGTTTGCTTAAGTGATGATAGATGGAAAACAAGAGATGTGAGCGCGAGGTGTCAAAGAATAGATTGCAACTATATTCTGCTAGGTAGTAGATGGGTAAGCGGGAGGTAGAGTAATGTGAAAAGTAAGTTGAAAAAGTTCAAAAGTGAAAAGTGGGTAATAGTATGTAATGCTGGCACTTAAGTATGGCGCCTAAGCGCTGTCATGCGGAGCCAAATCGCTACCGAGTGAGGTATGTAAAGATATATGTAAGTAAGGGTCCATGATAAAAATAAGGTGGAACAATACACAGATAAGAGAAATAGGAATATACGCACTAGGGAACTTGGTGGACAGTGGATGGATGCTTCCGGATGGCTGGCGCTATAGGGCGCTCAAGCGCGGGAAAGCGCGCGCGCGTATACATCGTAAAGCGTGGGAAGTTGTGCGCGCATGCTGCGCATTGCGTGGGAAAGCTGCACCTCATAAGGGAATAGCTGTGGATAGCACACAGAGTGATGCTACAAGTTCGTGCTATGTACTCCCTAGTGAATACTGCCATATCATGCAATGAGAGGCATGAGTCTCTACAGCGGTAAGGGATCTGTAAGGGCAACTATATTAAAAGTTGCATAATTACCCAGGTGTGTACTTACATCATGAAGAAAGCAGAGCGTTTTGCACTGTGCTTGAAAACTAAACATTGGACACACTCGGTGTGTCTGGCGGTATGCAGCTAGAGTTCGCAGAGATATGGCAACACTCAGATACAATGGTGCATAGGGCTGTTCGCCGTACACCGTATTACGGTCGCTGTATCTGTACCGTTGGCTGTTTTGGCCTTCAGTTGACGGTTACGGTGTACAGGTATCAAAGTACCGTATGTTGCCGTATTTGTATGGCCGTATACGGCCGTAATACGGGGTAAGTACGGCTTTTCTATAAACTACATGCCTTGACGCTACATGCAGTAGGCACATGTCTTATTTCTCAACGAGTTGTTCCGGACCTGATCCTCACACCATGGAAATCCTGCGCCTCATTCGCCGACAATCTATAGACACTGGAATGATTGGTGATCAGTTGCCTTGTTGTCTAATTTTTCTTCCTGACAGTTTCAACCATCTAGGGTGCAGATGATGGCAATGTAAAGCTCCAGGCAAGTCATCTCTGCTTCTCTTTCACACTACATCTGACCTTTTATCAGGGACATCTAGCTCAACCGAGAATTGTGCGCCCACCAATCGTGAGCAACCCCACCTTTTCTCTTGTCTCGTTAGACCTTTGACCCCCATTTTGCATCTAATCAAATCAGGCCACGCATCTTGTCGTGCAGCTCCTCCCTCAAGCCTGTTGTCCCTTATTCTTTGGCATCGTTTGCTCAGTTCCATACATTTTGGCACACGACCTGTAAATGCATCTCAACCAATCGAACGACAGGCAAATATTCATTTCGTATGAATGTCCCGTTGACTTTGTGATGTGGAACCCGCAGACACCATCCGTTGGCAGGTATGTCGTGAATGCCGCTGGGTGCTCTACCTTATATGAGCTGTCGCTCATTGGCATGTTCACCAGCTCCTGCCTGATCCAAACGGCATCACACTCCCAAAGCCCATTCAATTTCTCTTCTGTCAACCAATTCCATCCCTCATCACCACCTTCCTCTGTGCCCACCTCCCAAATAGTTGAGATCGCTCCCCGCTTCTCCCATCCGCCCCCTTTGCCTCCAGGGCCAGCTGATCAGTAGAACTCCTCACCGAGAATAGTCCTTCACCGGCATCTGCTACCTCTTCTGGCAGTGCACCACATGCCTCAGGGAATTTACGAAGATTGGCACGCGAGGCATTGACCCAATGCAGGAGGCTCATCATATGGTTTGCGTAATCGCGCCTGCGCTTCGAGGGTGGAGTGAGTCTGACGCCATCCGAGACTCGTTCCGTATGTCGTACCGTACCGTATTACAGCCGTACCATACCCTGTACCGTACCGTTGGCATTTTTTTTTCAACCGTAATATACGGTTATGTTGGGACTTTGTACAGTTGATGGACATACACTATACGGCCGTATACCGTATACAGTATGGTGAACAGCCCTAATGGTGCACAACCAATATAACCATGGTATATTAAAGTTTTGTTCGGATATTTATGAAAGGGTTGTGATTGAAGAGACGAACACTTTCGCCCTGTTTACAAATAAATTGATATTAACAAACAAGAATGTTTATACATACTAAAGATGTCAATGAGCTCAATGAAACGCATTGAGTGTCGTCCAAAATATCCGAAGGTGATGGCGCACGTGTTTCGTCAAAGTGGGGCATGCCATTGCCAGAGTCTCAGTAGCAGTAGTCTAGATATGCCTCCACCAGGAGATTCATTTGAATGTTCCAGTGATTCGTTTGATTTTCAATGCGGTGTAGGGATTCATTTCTGGCTGGGCTTGTAGAGACTGTTTTTACCTTACCTTATGTTGGCACTTTTGTAGCTTACATAAGCAAGTTATCTTTTCACCAGTTACCAGTAGGAGTCAGAGTCTTCAGTAGTTTTCTATCATATTTCCTCTTCTCTGAGCCTTGAGCCTGGTCCAGAAACCCTTTAGGGTTGAATAGCAGCTAGGTTCTGCAAGACCCAACATTGTTCAGACTCACCATCTGAATTGTTGTACCTTCAGCGGTCTGTGCGAGTGCGAGGGTCTACATAGTGGCTAGAATTGAGTGGTGTTAATGCGACCACGCAGATAGTGAAGGAATAACACTTACAATCCGCTGATGCCAGCAATTTCGTGCGCAAGACCTTCAAATGCCTCATATTCACCTCCCTTGTGACTCCAGGCCATACTGTAAGAATGATACATTAAATACCTACAATTGTAGATGAAATGTGATACAATAATTACTGAAGTCCATAGATACCTATCATTGTAGGGCTGATATATCAATGGAGGATCCTGTCAGGACACTCCCATAATAATCTCACACCCCTAATTTTCGCATTTTTGACCACCTACTGTGGGAATTTCCCCACAACACTTAAAAATAGATTGCTTCTCCACATTTTCGCATTTTTAGCCACCCCACGACACCTAAAACATCACCCATTTTGGGAATCTCCACAATATCAATTATTCCCACACCCTCCCCACCTCACTGCAGCTTCACCACCACACCACAATAGGTCCCCTCTTGTATCTAAGTAGTAGTTTGGTATATATATGTACAATATAATGTAATAGACCGCTTTTTTGCTTATTTGTGTGCCTGCTCCTCCTCTAGAGGCCATTTAACATATGTTAGAGTAAAGAACACTTTCGCACTTTTGCCCCTTTGGTGGGAAAGTGTTCTATTATATTCAAAACATGTTTATGAGCATATATGAGTATATTCCCATCTTTATTTGACCCCCTGAAGCGCCCTACATCAATAGATATAGCACATATGCAAGAAAACACAGAATATGTTCCTATTTAATTATTTCTAGGTGGACAGACTTGGAAAAATGATTCCCAGTATCTATTCAACAATATGAACAATGTATCAGGAGCCCAGGACCATGGGATAATTCCCTGTTGCATGGTGTGCCCCCCCTCTCCTGGTGGTTTACCCCCTGTGAAAATTTTTCCTGCAGGACCGGACCTTAATTGAGGTGAGGGGTCTATTTCTATGTATATTTGGAGTAGATCTATCATATAGCTGGCCCAGAACACACATAGGATCCTGCTACAAGAACAAAAACATAGAAAATCTCACTTTTGACACTTTTGATGTTTTTTAGTATCTTACTCTTGCATAAATAACCATCCCTGCTCACATATTATCAGTAGTACATTCACACATATGTTCTATGCCAAGGATCAGCCCTACATAGGGCGCAAATTTGATATCTGATGTACAGGAGGTATTTCTACTGATAAGGAGCCCATACTTTCAAAACATCGAAATTTAATAATCAGACACTTGGAGTAGATTTAAAGTACATTCACTATCATATACCTAAATTTACAAAACAATCCAACAAGAATTGAGTGCTGAGGAAGTGAAATAGATAAGAAATTGAGTGTGGGAAAGTTCAAAGACTCAAAACATCGAAAACATTTTGGTCAGTTGGGCAGCAGTAGGACTTTAATGCTGGGTCAACTCAAATATACATCACATTCCTTCCATCACCCTCTAACCTCAGGGCAGTATGTAGCATAGGTTCATTTAGTAGTCTATCATATATCCTACATATTTTTAATGAAATATTTGCCCTGTACCATATATAAATGTGACTTTGTGTCAAAAGATGTCAATTGTCACTTTTCACACATATGTCATTTTACTTTTCATTCAGTCAGTCCTTCACTGATCTTTCTAAAACTTCAAGTCCATCATTAGGGACATATATAAGAGGTATCCCAGGTATCTGATCACTTATCACAGGCTGGATTACTCTGTAGGTTTCCTATCAGTAGAAATACCTCCTGTACATCAGATATCAAATTTGCGCCCTATGTAGGGCTGATCCTTGGCATAGAACATATGTGTGAATGTACTACTGATAATATGTGAGCAGGGATGGTTATTTATGCAAGAGTAAGATACTAAAAAACATCAAAAGTGTCAAAAGTGAGATTTTCTATGTTTTTGTTCTTGTAGCAGGATCCTATGTGTGTTCTGGGCCAGCTATATGATAGATCTACTCCAAATATACATAGAAATAGACCCCTCACCTCAATTAAGGTCCGGTCCTGCAGGAAAAATTTTCACAGGGGGTAAACCACCAGGAGAGGGGGGGCACACCATGCAACAGGGAATTATCCCATGGTCCTGGGCTCCTGATACATTGTTCATATTGTTGAATAGATACTGGGAATCATTTTTCCAAGTCTGTCCACCTAGAAATAATTAAATAGGAACATATTCTGTGTTTTCTTGCATATGTGCTATATCTATTGATGTAGGGCGCTTCAGGGGGTCAAATAAAGATGGGAATATACTCATATATGCTCATAAACATGTTTTGAATATAATAGAACACTTTCCCACCAAAGGGGCAAAAGTGCGAAAGTGTTCTTTACTCTAACATATGTTAAATGGCCTCTAGAGGAGGAGCAGGCACACAAATAAGCAAAAAAGCGGTCTATTACATTATATTGTACATATATATACCAAACTACTACTTAGATACAAGAGGGGACCTATTGTGGTGTGGTGGTGAAGCTGCAGTGAGGTGGGGAGGGTGTGGGAATAATTGATATTGTGGAGATTCCCAAAATGGGTGATGTTTTAGGTGTCGTGGGGTGGCTAAAAATGCGAAAATGTGGAGAAGCAATCTATTTTTAAGTGTTGTGGGGAAATTCCCACAGTAGGTGGTCAAAAATGCGAAAATTAGGGGTGTGAGATTATTATGGGAGTGTCCTGACAGGATCCTCCATTGATATATCAGCCCTACAATGATAGGTATCTATGGACTTCAGTAATTATTGTATCACATTTCATCTACAATTGTAAGAAGTGATACATCAAACCTACAGGTACAGGTGGTGACTCAAGTCCAAACCCTCTTTGCCTGGGGGTGCTGTGTAGGGTAATGGCTCGATATTCACACCATAGTCGTCCATCATGTCCTCAACCATCTCACGGTCCTCAGCCAACATTTCTGCACGGAAGTTATGAGAGTGAGAAACAGCAAGAAAATTTTCTACAGTACGTACCTTGAATATGAGCTTGGCGACTTGCTGTGGCTGCCTCGGCCCTCACAGCGCTGGGTTTGCTTGCCAGCCATCAACATGTGAGACTGGCAATTCTGTCCTCTGAAATGGTGGGAGATGACAGATTTAGAGAGCCCTTTGAGTCTGGAGGAACCAACTCCACGGGACATAGTTGATAGCATGGTCTGAGCGCCCTCTGATGGGGGAAGGAATGAGAAGGACAGCATACAGGACAGGCAGGTCGATAGGACAAGATCCGGGAAGTATTTTGAGAGAATAAGCTTGCAGAAGGGCTAGAGCGATGGCTAGAGCAGCGCCCAGCCACTTATATTGGTGATTATTGTTGGCTATACCACCCAGCGACGTCGACGGTGTGGAAGTAAGAACAGAGGGGCATGGGAAGCCGTTGTTGAGCGAGATTCGGATAAATCGGGGATGTTACGGACAGTGCCGACAGTTAGAGAGGGCGGGATGTATAGCCGAGGACTGCTTACTCTTTTTGGTGGGCTGGCTGGTAGGGATAGAAGGTAAAAAGGACCTTTGGGGCAGTACTTAATGCTGGTGTTGGAGTTTCACTACATCCGAGCCTAATTAAACTAGGCGAGACACGTATTCACCAAGCTTAATAAGGCTTACTTATTGGGAAAGCCAGGTGTCAGTGCCGCGTCACAGGCGCGTCACGACCGCGTCAATTTCACCTGGCCCGGGACTCGGCGCGTAGGCGCCGTTACGCATCAAGTTAAGGCGATATATCTTTCGTCTGAGGGTGACCAAATCTTCTTATCTATAAGTACCCGTCCCAAGTCCAGCATCATCTCGTACCTCATCTCTGTTCCTCATCTCTGTTATCGACTTGCACTTGACAAGAGACATGTCTTCTGATTCCAAGCCCCATGTGCCTCTGGTCATCCTCGGGGCGGGGGTAACTGGACTTACCATCGCCTACATTGCTGCCTGCGACTCGGATGTGGATTTTGATATCACGATCATAGCAAGAGATATGCCTGGGGATTGGCATTCTCAAGCTTGGGCAAGTCCATTCGCGGTGCGTGCCTTTCGAGCGTTCTTCAGACTCTTTCTTACTTCAATCTTGCTTAGGGTGCAAGTTGGTCTCCAATTCCGCTAGGCGCCACGGATGAGCGTGTACGACGATGGGAGCAGATAACCTTGTGAGTAATACATCGCCAATGTTTCGAGATTTGCGGACAAGTCTTCTCAGTGATAGGTTATGGGACATGGCGCCATCAGGCTTGGTCAAGGTCAGTCTTTGTTTGAACGCTCGCCAATCGGCATGACTGGTAAACGTCCCAGAGAGCACCCGCCAAGGTCCTCGGGGAGACAGATGGCCTTCTTTCTACTATCTGGTGGCAAGACCTCGTGCGTGATGTAAGTTCGATTCCTGTATCCTGTTGTCCTTAGATTCTAAATACAAGGGTGATAGTTCAAATTGCTCTCAGAGTCCGAAGTCCCTGCACCATGCAAAGTGGGCGCTGCTTTCACCACGGTCACGATCAACCCTTTTGAATATCTACCATGGCTTCGATCGGAGCTCGAGTCTCGTGGCGTCGTGTTCCGTCGGCAATACATAAGGAGCTTGGACGAAGTCAAGCCTCTTGTGGGGAAAACCGGGTTGTTGGTCAATGCCACGTCTCTCGGTGAGCACATGATAGCCATGCCAGCTACCAATAGTTATTGACGGTCCGGATCCGAAGGTTCACGGTCTTTGATCGGAGTGGAAGATACAACAATGTATCCGATCAGAGGACAATCTATTATAGTCGAGCGTACTGGCTTGGAGGAATTTGTAGTAGTTCGGTCTGGTCAGTCCGCATTGACAGTTGGGTCTCACTACCCCTGATGTGTCTGTCGGCGGTGGGTTGTCAGAACTATATACATCCATTACTCCTCGCCCTGGGCTAACGCAGATGAACACCGTGGCCCTAGGCGGAACGTATCAAGTAGGAAGCTGGGACACATCCTTGGATATGTCAGCTGCAAAAGGGATATTTGAGCGGTGCTCCGTCATGGCGCCATGTTTGAAAGAAGAAGGGACGAAGATCCTTATGCACACCGTCGCTCTTAGGCCGGACAGGAAAGGTGGCCCACGTGTGGAAGCTGAGCGCATCTCACTTCCCCTTGTTCGAAGCGACGGTTTAGCTCCCAACGTGGGCGAAGATGCAGGACAACAACAGGACATAACGGTTATTCATGCATATGGAATGGGGTGAGAGTGCTTTCCGAAGATCGTCCAAGTTCTAACCTTCAGTTTCAGAGCTGCAGGCTACCAAAGATCCTGGGGTGTAGCTTTTGAGGTTCTATCTCTACTGAAGGAGAATATGTAAACACGCTGCCGAGATCGACAGCACAACGTCTACTTTATCGACACACGTGCAACGATTAGCTTGAGCCTCACACACCTAATATTAACTTTCATCCTCAATCAGATACGGTACTCAAGATATGTGGAAGCACAGGGAAGTGACTGATGGGTGAGGCTGCAGCGATGCCAAACCTAGTACGATGGATGACTCCCGCGTGAAATAAGACATACGGCTATAAGTCACCTGTGTCGAACCTGGCGTCAAGTTCAGTACGAGCGGTAATCGTAATCAATTTCCCCAGCATAAAGTTCCTCGCGCTTCCCCTCATCCCTCTTCGAATAATGGTAGTTGTAGTTCATATCACTGGAACCAACATCAAGTTCCTCACGCTTCTCCACACTTGATAGAAGGTCGGTACGTTTCTCTACATCTGGCAGCGAGTTACACTCATCAACTTCCGCATGGTGATGAGTGATGGATACTCACAGGAACGTTTCGCAATGGCTCCTTGCGTAGGGTACGCTGTAGCAAGAATCACGATGGATGCGAGCGCGCTGAAGACAAGAGAAAATTTCATGTTTGAGTTCAGAGGTACGACTAGTACTTTGTCAATGCACTGGAATCTTCAAAAGGGCTTTATACCATCTCGTAGGTCTGCTCATGACTTAGGTCACCTGAATTCGCTGAAGCCTTATCCACTCGGAACTTTTGGAAGGCCCGGGGATTGTTCTAAGTGGACTCGGACGATAATCAACTGTCAGTCTCGTTGAAAAATCACTCAACGCCACAATCCCAAGGGGGCAAGACCGTCAGCCCCAATTCTGATCGTCGGACCGGCTTAGTGCATAGGTTCACATGTGCGAAAATGAACAGTGCCAGTTGATCAGATGCCATCACCATGTTCTGACCAAGTTCCGGTGATGCAAACGCTCCGAACTCGGAGGATTCCATTCATTCTTCTCGTAATCCTGACCAGCTTATTAGGAATAGCTAAGTACGCCTGTACCAATCGGATGCACAGGTTTGTGTGGATTTTTCATTGTCTTGCCTACAGCTGTTGTACAGTATTTGCGTGTCCCGGTCGCGTCTGATCAATTCCAAATGATGGGAATTCTATTGTGCCAAATATTGTATTCAGCGAGTTTGTTTGCCTGGTTGTCCAACAGTTTCCGCCTGGAGATCTCTAGCCAGTGTCTGCTCCTCAGGCTAGCTTGGCACACATCATTGAGAATCCTTCTGTCTTCAACCACGAGCAGAACGCTGAAAATCCCCGTGCGCATTCAAATTGCGTTGGTATCTCGGCCGATCAAAAAGATTACATTACGCGTGCATGGCTGTACTGACATTTGCGCGTGGTTAAGCAGGATTTATCTAGAAACGAAAAGAAGAACAGTGTCCTCATGAAATCCGCAGCACGATTGACGTGCCGATCTTGGTTTGGTACCTCGGAGGGCACGAATGTGTGATGGCGGTGGCGACAGGGAAGATGATTTCTTTTATTTTTGTAAGTATCAGCGTAACAAAGTGACCCGTTGAACGTAAGTTGGGTAGAGTACCTGAAAATGCATGTGATGATGAACCTGGACTTGACCAAATAAAAGACGAAACTTATTTAGAGACACAGCTAGGACGTACAGATAGTATAGCGTAGCTAATTTTAGAACACTGTTCGATCTTTCTTTAGTGATGTGGCGGAGCAAAAAATTGGGTGTGCAACGGTCTAGATAGGTCTCATTGGGAATAAAACAGCGTCAATCAAATCGTTGGATTGATGAAAAAAGAGTCCTGGGATGCCCGGACGGCCATTTTGTTTTGTTAGGACAATTCCAGCAAGATTCCAGTGGTAGTTCTTGCTGCTGATCCTGCCATATTGGGACGAGGCGAATGCTATACACGCCTAAGTTTACTGGTTCTTCCTGATTTTTGACTGGTACCCGTGAGATAGTGATCCATGCCGTCCGATGCACTAATAGCACCAGCCACGTACGAGTTCTTTCAGGTCCTTTCCACCATCGGTACGCGTTTCGGGACTAAACAAAGTCATTTTCGTCGCTAAAAGCAATATAAAATCATTTATTACGACGTCGATGCCCCACAATCAACGTATAAACGCACCCTAAACATGGCCTTGCGGAATGCAAAAACGTTGGCATCCCAAAATGCATGCATGGTTGAACGTGAACGCGTCAACGTTGAAGTTCGTCAAGACTCCACATGATGCTCCCAGAAATTTACTAGACAGAGTGGTTTGAACTCCGAGGATGAAAAAAAAACGTGATTACCGAAAACAGTAGTTGAACCAGCTATCGACGATCGTTCTGTCAACTTCTGTGCGTCCGAATCTGCAACGCTCAATAATGTGGACCCTTACACGCCACGAATACGTCCAGCAGACGTTTATCTGCAAAAGGGTATACCAAGGTCTCAGTCTCTTTACCTCTCATGTATACTTATTATGACATGCAAATGATCGACCATCCAGATTACCGGCACTATCGCTTCTGTGTGCAGAAACAGACGACTGAACGACGATATCTATAAAGATCCAGATCTTTTCACGAGAAAGCCGTAGCATCAGTACATGATCCTTGATGATCTGCATATGACAGTATTGATGGCATGCAGGCCACGAGCCATCGTTTATCACTGAGACTTCGTTCGTGCTCGTACGACTATACTCACGGTCAAGGTATACTTTTCTCACTGCAGCGGGGGTGATTTATGTCAAGACGCTCGGGGTACTGACAACTACGGGTCGTCTCGAAGACCCATACGAGGAGCTGTGTGTCAAGGAGAGCAAGTTCATCAATAAGGGCATTTTGGAAGTGGATTACACAGACGAGTATTGGGATAGGCGATACACGGTGAACTTTGCGTCTGAGAAAATGGTGTACTGACACTTGGGCAGCTTCCTGATGGCTCGACCCTTTCTTCAAAGCGCGAGCATACAGATGTTCCTCAGCCACGTACTGCTGGAGGTTGATTTCCCGGTGGCGCTTGTATACCGCCCCTCCTGGAGCGTTGGAAACACAAGTTTTTACTTGTAGGTAAATATCTCAATGTGATACGTGAATGTGATCTTATTTTCAGGCATTGCAAATTCATCGAAAACACGTATACACACGGATCATACCTCCTGCTGCAAGATGAACAGCTCATATATCGGCTCCGCTCTCTCAAGCATTATTTCTTCCTGGCCTCCTCATCATTCCTCACTTACCTCTTAGACCTTGCTCACGGAACTGAAAAAGGGCCTGCGAAAGGCGTCAGTATCGTTAAGCCACAAAGTCTGTTCGACCTTGCACTTACAGGGGAAGATGCCGTGTTCCGTGAAGATGTGTGAGTCACCACCGCGAGATGAATGGTTACCCAGGTCATCAACGTAAGTGGCGTGATCAGCGATGAAGGCGAAGCCTTAAGGCGTGGCAAGCTACAACTCTCTCATTTTAGACGGGAACTGGGAGAACTTGAGGTAATGATATGAATTAGAAAATGCAATACACAATGTCACCAGGTGATAGCTTAGTAGCAAGAACGCTAGGTCTGTAGTTGAGTCAAAATTTAAAAAAGAGCACGTGAAACAACTAGGATTGTGGGACTAGTACTGTACTACATGGACATCCATCATGTCAGAAAGCAACCGGTCTGATAAGGAAGTAGATATATATAGATGTACAGGGAAGTTACTTGTGTGTGAGGCTGCAGCAATGCTGGACCTAGTACGATGGGTGAGTGCTATAAAAATAAGACATATAGCTGTAACTCACTTGCGTATACGAGCTTTAATTGACCTCGCGTTTCTTCTCAGCCGCATTCGAGTACGCAGCATAATCCAAGTCAAAAACGTTGACTTCGTAATTGCTGTAATCGAAATCCTCAGCATTAAGCTCCCCGCGCTTCTCGACCGCGTTCGAGTATGCAACATAATCGAAGTCATGAGCGTTGACTTCGTAGTTTGCGTAGTCGAAATCCTCAGCGTTGAGTTCCTCGCGCTTCTTCTCAACCGCGTTCGAGTACGCAACATAATCGAAGTCATAAGCGTTGACTTCGTAGTTGGTGTAGTCGAAATCTTCAGCGCTAAGTTCCTCACGCTTCTTTTCAACCGCGTTCGAGTACGCAACATAATCGAAGTCATAAGCGTTGACTTCGTAGTTGGTGTAGTCGAAATCCTCAGCGTTGAGTTCCTCACGCTTCTTCTCAACCGCGTTCGAGTATGCAACATAATCGAAGTCAAAAGCGTTGACTTCGTAGTTGGAGTAGTCGAAATCCTCAGCGTTGAGTTCCTCGCGCTTTTCTACATCTGGCAGCAAGTCACGCTTATCAACCTCCGCATGGTGATGAGTAGATTGAATACTCACTGGAACGTTTCGCAGTGGCCCCTTGCATGGGGTACGCTGTGGTAAGAACCACGATGGATGCGAGCGCGCTGAGGACAAGAGAAAGCTTCATGTTTGAGTTAAGAGATGCGACTGGTACTTTGTCGATGGATTACAATGGAATTTTCCAGAGGACTTTATACCTTTTCGCAGGTCCCAGATCACATGAATTGGCTGAGGCTTCAGAACTTCTATCAGGGGTTGTTCTAACTGGACGTTAGCAGTGTCTTGGCAGTGTCGTTCGACACTCACAATCCCAGCGAGGCAAGACCGACAACCCGGATCCTTGCATTCACAAATTGGCAATTCGAAAATCGACGACGCGCCGGACCCAGAGTCACCGTCGCACCATTGGCTGTCAAAAATACACATCAAAGAGCTGTTAACGATTATCGATCATCCCGGATCTTTTACATAATTATTTATAGCCAGCGGCTCTTCACCTCCGAGTCGCATTCTGAATGCTTTGTGGGTCCTGGTGGCGTCTGATCAATTCCCGGTACATGGAAATTCCGTTATGTCAAGTATTTCGGGTATCAAGGGGCGAGTTTGTTTACCTGTTTTAAAAATTTAATTTAATTGTTCTTCAGGATTGGATGCGGGAATAGCGGGGAGGCTTTGGCTTGTTGCCCGTCTGGAGACCTTTTGCCAATGTCTGCTCCACAAGTTAGCTTAGCCCGCAAGAAGAACGCTGGAATCGTCCGCGCACATTTAATTCGTCTTATCTCAATAGATCGAAAAGACTACATTACCCGTGCATGACTGTACTGACGACATTTGCGCGTGGTTAGGTGGAATGAACCTAGAAATGAAAAAGGAACCCGCGCAATCCGCAGCACGGTTGACGTGCCGAAGGTCTAGTCCCTCGAAGGGCACGAATGTGCGATGGCGACAAGATGATTTCTTTTATTTTTGTATTAGCACCCAACGTAAGTCGAGTCGAGTACCTGAAAATGCATGCGGTGATGAGCCTGGACTTGACCAAATAAAAGACGAGACCTATTTAGAGACACAGCTAGGACGCACATGATCAACACATGATCATGTAGCATAGATAATTTTAGAACACCGTTGGCTCTCTCGTTCTTTGGCGATGCGGCGGAGCGAAAAATTGGGTGTGCAACGGTCTAAATAGGCCTCATTGGGAATGCAACAGCGTCAATCAAACCATTCAATGAGTGAATTAAGATAGTCCTGGGATGCCCGGACCGCCGTGGTGTGTTATTAGCATTCCAGCAATATTTCAGTAGTAATTCTCGCTGCTGATCCTGCCATATTGGGATGAGTCGTACTAAACACAAAATATATGTTTGAGCCCACCTTAGTTTGCTGGCTCTTCCTTCTTTTTGACCGGTATCTATGAGGTAGTGAATCGTCCCGTCCTATGCACTAGTACCGACCACATACGAGTTAGTTCAGGTCCTTTCCACCATCGGTACGCGTTTCATGACTAAACAAAGCCAACTCGTCAACCACATCAGAGGACTGATGCGCCTGAGAAAGTTATATTGTCTTATACACCATCATATGACAAAGTATGCAGAGCATGTCATTTAACTTCGTCGCTAAAAGCCACATAACATCATTTATTGCAACACCGATGGGCCCCGAACAAAACGTAACGCACCCTAATGGACTCATCAGTTCTCTGATGGCCCGCACTAACGTCAGGTTATGGATGCCCTATCGGTATGTACCTCGCTCTTCCCAGTCGTTATCAGCACCATCGATAAGTGCTGTGTCACTCTTGCTGGGATATATTACATCAAGGTCTTAAAAACAGACCTTGATGACAACCAATGAGATTCGATTCCAGGAATTTCATTACAGGGGATAAACGCGGAAAATTTAATGTCTTTAATCACCGCTCTTGCTGAACTAGACACGATGCATGTGACGGTCAGGGAGGATGGACAGCTTGAGAGGAGTTTCGTTCCGACCGCCTCGGTATAAGGGACATCTGTAGCTAGGCCCTAGTCAGCTCCACAATTGATGGTGACTCGAGACTATCACCGGTGCTCCATGGAAGTAAATTATAGCCACCGTGTCACCGAGATATGCTAATTAAAACTTTCATTATGGACGGTCGCTCTGTGGCTTTGCCATCGGAATTTCGGGCGCAACTCGAACAACGACGACCTAGGCGCTGAAAGAAATGAATACTGATACGTCACTAGCACTGAACAATACCTGAAAGAATTGACCAATCGGCGTTAGAGAACAAGAAGGGAAGGGTGCACGACTCTGTCATACGATGAATGATTTATTTGGCCACATAAGCTCGGGCCTCGATGCTACAAACTGAGTCTAGAATTGAACAAACACCATATCCCGTGACCAAAATGATGTGTTCCTGACTTCCTTTTTCGTATTTGAAGTAGCCTGAGCGTAGATTGGGAGCGTAAATATATTATGTATTTACATCGATGTACTAACAACACGTTAAGCTCTTGATCACTGCCGATACTCGTGAACTTGAATGTATGTAGTGAGTAAGGAGCACGTCATTCCTCACACATCAACGTGCATCAGATGGGGGGGCAAGGGCATGTCAACTGTATCTTTGACACGAGTGACCGCCGATTGAGGGATATGAACAGCATGCTCGACAGCCCAATCCAAGATTTTCTCGTAGTTCCTGCATTGGTGGCGGGTGTTGAAGTTCGGGTATGGGATGTTGTGTCCCTTAACCCAGTCCCATGTTATTGTCGTCACATCGGCATTACACATGAGATTCTGCCTGATCATTTCGATGCAATGATCTGTAATGCATACGATGAGCAGGAGGTGTATGAATGAATGAACAAAGATATGTACCAAGATGCAAGCGGACTACTTCGGGCGTATCCTGGAATGAAACATCCTTGGGGCCGTAATACTCAGGCCACGAGGCTTTGCGAAGTAAATTCTACAAAACGTGAGAAACGACTAGACTTTCGAAGTAGTACTGTAATAGCTACCAGACAGTGGAGTTGGTGAGGGGCTTCCATAGATACCATGAAGCCCCCACCAAATTCGGGTGGATATTTGACCTTGGAAGGTGAGTCTACTTCGCCGGCTTTAAGCATTTCTTCAAGTGACATCCGAGTTGGCAGCACTGAGGTTTCATGGACGCGAACAATTACAAATTAAGATGAGGAGAAAAAATTGGGCAACCCACCATCGTGAGCTATCCTGGCCCAAGCCGCATCAATTTCTGGGGAAGGAGGGCCACGATAGATGGAAGGAAAGTCGAGCGTTCCATTGAATCTTACGATCGTGGATTCAACAGCACCACTTGCTGGAGCTGCAGCAAATCATCAACACGATGTCAACTGTCTGAGGATGTCTATTCACTCACAGTATATAGGAATGTCGTCATGCAGGTGGGGCGAAGGCGTGCCCATCCACAGCGCGAAAAAGAGTATCGATGTGAATATCAACGTGCCATGGCTCAACATAGGCCATACGCGAAGGATTCCATGCAAACGTCCTGCACGTAACCTTTCTGCATCACTAAATGATTCCTCCTCGTTGTCATTGTCAACAGCATTGACAGGAAAGTACTGTGAGGAATGTTTGACCATGGTCCTAGGAGAACTTGGTTGGTTGCTGAACTCGGGAATTGTAGAGATAGTTGAGAATACGCGAGGGTGGATGCAAGAAATATTTGGCACAGTGTATTAATTTCGAATGTATCTCCCAATCGGCTGTATCTTGCGTTAGGTTATCATACCGTCTGTGCGAGAATCACGTGTCCCCACGGAGCGCTGGAAGATATTCAATCAGGAAGCACAGGCCCCCCGGGATGATCGGAAGAGTGCCATATGGCTATACTGTACTAGTACTTACGAAGAAGAGGTACCGGGAACAATCTCCAGCCTGAGATTGATGCTCAAGTGGTCCATCAGTAAAAAGTCAAGCCCCTCTATGTACTCAGGCCCTGAGTTCCAACTGGCCCACGAGTACAACTTTGTTCCAGGCATCTTGGAACCCTACGAACCTTGTCCTGCGCCAACCATGAGTAAGGAATATTCTGCATCGTATTCTCCTGTCGATGGAGTAGACTATCGCGACGACACGAACCTTCTTGATAGCAATACAGAATCAAGACCTCTTCCCAAATCCCCTCTTTCTCGCTGGTCGTTATGGATAAGCCACGGTGTGCTGATGTCCATAACGATGTTGTTCTTCGTGCTATGGGCACGGGCGCCGTCCATCGATGACGTGGTTCCGTACTGTAGGTGGACAGACAGCTTTCAACCCACAGGACCTTGCTCACTCGTCATAGCTCCAGCAAACGAGGCGATCGAATCCATCGGCATTATAAGATTCAACGGAACTCTGGGTACCCCTTCTATATATCGTGGCCCTCCATCTGCAGAGCTCGACGCTGTTTGGGATAGGATATCTTTTAATGGTTGCACTCTATACATCACTTAAATCATAGACACTTACTGACTGTATATCCCCAGCACGTCCAATCCGTATGACGCTTGAGCAACTTCTCAGAACAGGGGAGAAGCCCTCTCCCGTCATGGCTAGGTATCCGGAGGAATACGGTGGAGGTTACCTGACAACTATAGAATTCATTCACCAGCTCCATTGCATAGTCAGTTGTAATACAGAGAGGTTGGTCGAACTTTACTCACTCCCTCGCAGGACATGCTTCGCAGAGTCAGCTGGGGTGGTAACCACTCGGATCATGGCGCCAACGAATCCTTCGAAGACCACCGCATTCATGTCGGTAGGTACACCGTTTTCTCCCGGACTACATCTGTTCATGTTGTGCCTCAGACCACTGCATCGAAATGCTCAGGCAGATCCTTATGTGTCATGGCGACGTGACGATGCTCACTTACGACTGGGTGGAAGGAGTCAAAAATCCTTTCCCTAACTTCGGCATTCCTCATCGATGCAGAAACTTCGACAAGGTCTTGAATTGGGTTGATGAGCATCGTGTTTTTGTCCCTAAATCCAAGGTGGTCCGCTATGAGGATAACGTGGACCTGGCTTCCCCTCCTTGATTGCAGTCTCGATGTATTCTCGGTCTCGCGTATGACAAATGTAGCAGAGCCATTTACGAATATCCTTGCAAAGTTGTATCTTTGTGCCAACTTTCTGCTGACTAAATCAATATCGACACCATTTGCAAAACACATGACAGCACACCTTCAAGCCCAGAGCGCTTAGATCTATAGTTTTCCCTGATAGGTGAGCATTATAAGTGGCTGTTGAACGTTGAGATCATGGGATACATCATGCACGTTTGCTGGTCCGTTATCACCGAGGTCTGACCGAGGCAGAGCAACCATGACATCAAATATAACCACAACCGTAAACATGTCATTAAAAATATGAGTCTAACTTCCTAATGTCCTACCATGTACGTACGTATAAAAAGGTCATAAAGGAATCAGGGAAATGAAAGACACAAAATAACATCACAGCACAGCGATGACGAAGGTGGACTGGCGGAGTATACGGGGTAAAATGATAGCGAAATACGGAATGCAAAGTATTAGGGGGTGGAGCTAGACCGGGGTGCAACTTGGAGGGAGTAGGCGAATAGCTAAAGATAAATGCTGATCAAAGTCTTTTGTCACCCAAGCGTAAAATCAACAATATCGCTCTCCTTCGTGAGCATCATACATTGAGTACCCTTCCAACACGGGTCGATCCAATAAGTACAGAAACGCAGTAACTCTTTGCTTGACCCACTCGCTATAGTCGATGTCCGGGGACGGCCCAGAAAAGGAGTGTGAGTGCCACGACACAAGTAGAGACGAGGGTTGTAACCCAGATGGCACGACCCAATAATAATCTCTTCACATACGGCTCGCGGATGGTGAGCGTACGGAACGGTGTCGACTCTGACTGTCCGAGGAAAACAAGGATCGGGTCGAGTTCGTATTGATGTGAGATAAGGAATAAAATTGCCAACGCAAAAGGAATGAAGAGCTGCAGGACAAACGATCCGTTAGATGCCAGATTACATCAAACAGATGGGACGCACGAAAAATCGTTTTGATTTAGGTTGTACATCAAGAAATATCAGAGAGAAGCCGGCGGCAAGGCCGATCCACAGCACAATGAGACCGACGACGAGTCGGACTAATGCAGACATGGGAGTAAGGTTTCCAAACGCTTTACTTCTCAGAAAACGCGGAAAAGCATCTTGCTCCATTGCCCTAAAGCAGTACTCCTTCTGGGCATGGAACATATCAGGAATATGTGCCATCATATTCAGGTCGCTCTGTGATTTCGGCTCTTGGGTGCTATTGAGGGGAAATGTGTGTATGCGGAGGGCGGGAGGGAGGTAAATTTCGTGATTCTCCGGTGAATCTACGGTACCAGCGGGAGAGAGATACCGGAAGAAGATGCGCTCAGCGGATGCGATGAGGTCCATACGACTAATTGCAGCGGAACGTGGAATGACTGTTGGCGCACGCGATGCGCGTTTGAGAGTGAAAAGGGTTGGTGTTCGCACTGAGAGGGAGAAAGGTGTTGTTGACCGTGGTGGATCAATATCTGGACTATTCACAGCAGTTGGAAGGGATGAGGTGTGCTCCTTCTCATAACCAGGCGTTGTAGAACGCTGAAAACCACGCTTCTCGTCAGCAGCGTGAGCGTTAGCGTTTTTCTCCTGGTCGTTGATAACCTCGCTTGTGCTCGTCGTACTTCGCTTTGCGGCATTGGGCTGAAGTCCAACGACTGTACCGTATATGGACCCACGACGGCGTGCGTATTCCCAGTACTGAGGCCAATCCTCTTTGATTGTCCGGCCTGACTTTCGGACATCTTTGAAATATGCCCTGCAAAGGTTCTCGTGCTGCTGGACATCCAGCCAGAAGTCCAAGATATCTTCTGCACCTTCGCGTTGGAGAAAAATGCTAAATTTGACATGATATAAGAAATTATTCAAATACTCAAGCAAACATAAAGACACCACTTACTAAAACATGAATAAATCCACGGGTGGTCGCGTCCTTCGGGAGAGGACTTCTGTGAAAGAGGGGAGCCTGTTCTTGCGGCTGTTGAGCCAGTCTTCTTGTTGTCTGTTCTGCTCGTCGTCCATAGTGGCGGAGAGGTCACCGGCAACCTCTTGTCGTCACGATCAGCAGCGAGGGTTGGGTGGAATTGGCGGCAAGACAACCAACAAGATATAATTCTCATGCCAGCAGCCACGCCTGTTTAGATTATTATGTAAGCACCCGTTCCACGAACCGACCCGACGCGGCATCGAGAAAGCGTTGCAGAAACGTTGTTTGCCTCCATATTGGCTGTGACTTGATCTCGTTTAATTCCTGCCATGTCCGCGTTTGCAAAAACATTGTCTCCCGCTCTCCGCGAAATCCGCATCTTTTGCTGCCAGTCAAGCCAAGCTTCGGCGGGCACCCGGTGAGTTTGTGGTTTTTGAGCATAGAACGGTCACTCATGATCACGTCTGCAGGCAATTTATCTTGTCCACATACCCAGTCATCAAGAAACATAACCCAGACCTCCCCGTTATGATACGGGAGGCAAACGGCACACCTGCGCGGATGTTTGCACGTTTTGGTGCGTGTAATGCTCGTGTCCTCGGGCAAATTTATGCGTGGCTGTATTAATTTGTATTCCCGTAGAACGTGGAGTTGAGAAACACGTTGAGCTGGACGATCTCTCATCATCAGATGTGGCTGCTAGTGTTGCACGGATATTGAGCACCTCATAGTCACTATGGTTTAACCGCCCCAGCGTTGTATTCAATTCAAACATTTTCCTTGCCATTTTTGTCTGACTTTTATATGAAAGAAGTTTTGAGATGTGCACAGGTATACATGCGACACCCAGTCCAATTATGTGGGCTACTAATTTTGTGCAAGGCAGTTCCCATTACTTGCCGGGCCGCCAGCTCGGATGTGAATGAGATTGTTTGTTGCATGCAAGACGCACCAACTTCGTGCTTATCTGAACTAACTTGGCGGATTGTTGGTAGTCTCGTATCAGCCTACAACCAAGTGAGTTCATATTAAAATCCCAACAACCCGTAATTAACCAATGTCTATCAATTTGTTCATAACAGATTTTACACTACCTCTACTTCCTCTCATTCACCAAAACGCCTTCACCATGCTCTCCAGCATGCTCCACGCCAACTTCTCTGTTATGTTCTTTCTTGATATTACGCAGCAACCAAAACTGATACAGGAGAATAAGGCATCCACATACGACTGCCACCGCAACTGTTACAATAATTGCTGACTCGCTTGTTGTGGAGTAGGTTCCATGCTGTACGCCGTAGATATTTGAAAGCACTGAAATAACACCAGCGAGCGAATTGAGTAGGCCAGGCCTACTCAGAAGTTCGATTCATCAGTCAATTGACGACATTATACCCCACTCACACAAAGATACGATTCACAATCCAGACATAATTTCTTTGCCATCTCCACCACAACCAAATCATACCGACACCGCCAATACCGGTACAAATCCATGCGATGACATAACTATAGAGGTTTGGTAAATAACTCTAGTTCTCGTGGTTTTGATTATCACTCACAGTGGTATATTAATATTAGAAACCACGTCCAGCAGTTGGGCTTCCACACCGGCAAGTTGCTGCTGTTGCAAAGATGTGAATGTTCCGGGGAATAAGACAAATCCTGCAAGCAGGATCCACGTGAAGAAAGATGCCATAATGTTGAACATTTGCGGGATATCATCAAGTGCCAAAAGCATATTCACATAGCGAGTCTGTGCATGTCCAGCTGGTATATTTGGCAGCGGTGGGCGCTGCGTCGTGTGGTGAAGCTGTTTTGCGGGAATAGGAGGGGGTGGCTCATGATAAGCCTCTTGCGCCTTTGGTGCCAGTTGAGTGGCAGGAACTGTGCGGCCGTAAGGGCGTGAACGGCTACTGGATGGGCTTGGGTTGAGTGAAGGGCGGCTCAAGGCAGAGGACATGTCAGGAGGTGATACATTCTGATGACTGAACGCAGCAGCCGTTATCTGGTTCTTGGGAGGTGTGCCATTGAGAGAGGTGCGCGATCCGTTCGGGGTGACAGAACTACCATGACCATACATAGGCTGGGTGACAGTCGACGCGTATCTGTGCGATGCCGCACTTGGAGGTCGCGAACGAGAACGAGAACGATGATGTGTACTATTATGGGAGCCGTTAGGACTGTGATGAAAGCTATTTTTCTGCATGCCATGGCGTGCACTCTGTGTGCCTGCGTGTGCCCCCGGACGTGTATTTTGGGCTGCATTCACACCCTGATTCAAACCCTGGCGGATGCTGTGGCTGGATCCCTGATGCTCCGTCCCATGAAAGTATGGTTGCTGATAAGCCGAAGTAAAGGCTGGGGAATTTGGCTGGGGAACAGGGAAGCTTGGGGCATAGGACAGGGCTATATGTGGTGTAGGGATCACCGGAGGCGTGTTGAGCGCCGTTCTAGGCGGCTGGGGCACATCCCGTATCAGGGGGGCCTGAGACAAGTTACTCTGTCTGGAAGGGCTCCGATGATGTGATGGTGAGATAGGACCCGGAGATAGCGGATCGGAAGGGTTCACCACGGAGCGCACCTCCATCTGTGCAAGTAGAGACCCTGGTGAGGGGACGAATGGGTCCCCCACGCGTTCTACTGAGGATTTCCGTGAGGGTGTCTGGTGGGGAACATTCATAGGCTCTGTCGTTCTGCGCGCTGGTGCAGGCCACGCTGTTTTGAACGGGGGTGCTACGTATGGATGTCCGGGGTCACTTGAAGTCCTTGATCGCTGTCGTCTGTGTCCAGATGCGCGCTGGCCTGAAGAGTACGTCGGCCGGGACATGATGTTCGTTAATCAAGAGGAATATGTCAAGGTTTAGGATAAGGAATGAACTCGGATAATATTAACTGCCGTTCTCCGGTTATCCTTTGTCTCATCCCACGGGCTGAATAATTGTCCAGGGTACAAGAAATATCAATCGAGGTTCATATTTCTAGTAATGATCGAATGGTTGAGATCAGTGCGAAGAACTTCTTGAAAGTTGTTCAAGTTGCTGTTACGAGAATTCAAGAATTCTTTGCACAGGTTGCGCACCAAGATCCGACCCAGATATGGACCACGAGGCCGGGCCGCCGTCGACCGAGCGTTAGTACATATAGGCGTGTCACTGTAAGCTTGTAAAGTCACAAGGGAATGCAATGATGATGGCTGTCGAGGTCAACTTACATAACAAACTTTGTGACAGGATTAGTCCCGACGCATGATCGACCTTAAAACCTTAATATTGACTTGCTCAGCGCTCAAGTCTTCCAAGCTAGTATATGACCAGTGTACCGCTTCTGGGAACATTTGAATCGCAAGTGTGAACGGTAGTTGGGCGCATAGTCAACTAAACCTAGGGTGTGAGACCTGAGGGGCCCTTCTTGTTAAATGTACCATTCAGTAGCGTCTTCTTGGCTGTAACTGTCTGGTAATATTTTATCTTATCATTTATGACGAGCCTCTTAATGTCCAACATATGCATAGGGTCTATGACCATGAACTGAATTGAAAAACGGAACTGTCTGATAGATGCGTGTCATCAATACCATCCAGTTGTGAATTCCTTAGCAATGCCCACGAGTAGGTCTCTTGGAAATGGGATGAATTGATCAAACCAACCTCGCTCTGACTCACCCTTGGCAGCACTTTCTAGTGCTCCCCACGGTCTGTCAGACCCGGTTTTCCTGTAGGACACAACATGTCTCTGAGACATCCCTCTCCCTGGAGGGTCTCCCCCAATTCCTTAAGAGTAACAAGTGTACCCTCGTGGGCCTCGTTGGAGGGTTGGCTCTGATTATTGCAGATCACGGTGCTGAACCTCCACCACGTCATCGAGGGTCTCGGCCGCTTATCAACATAATTTGGAGCCTCTTGTGGTCCTCCGACGATACATCATACCTTATGCTGTCCCCTCGCCTTTTATATTTCCTATGTTTGTCACTTATACTTATGTTATGTTTTCATCACGTCATCGAGAGTCTCGCCGCTTATCAACATGATTTGGAGCCTCTTGTGCTCCTCCGACGATACATCATACCTTATGCTGTCCCCTCGCCTTTTATATTTCCTATGTTTGTCACTCATACTTATGTTATGTTTTCATCATGTCATCGAGAGTCTCGCCGCGCACATACAACAATATGTTATGTTTTTCCCCGCCCTTTATTGTATGTTATGTTTTTTTTCTTCCTTTTTGCGTTGTATTTATGTTGTGAATGTCACATTTTAATAAAACATATCACATCGCAGTGTCGTTATCTTTAAGTTTCACGGCGGTTTTGAACATGTTCTGAAACAAACAAGAGTAGGCATTGGAGCTGCTATACTGACATTATCGAAACGAGAGGAAATCGTAAAAACACATGGATAGCTACATAAGTACTAGGGTACGAAAGGGACAGGACAAGTGTAGGATGAGCAAACCACCATAATAAGTTATCACCGTAAAAAGACAAAGTGAGCATGAGAAGATGAACCAAAATAGCAACCCAACAAACGACAAAAGCACAGGCATATCAAAAGTCGATTATGATGAAGGAGGATGCGGAGGGTTAGTGGGATCTCGAGTAAATGCTCGCGGGACAGCGTCGTGACGAATGTCCAAAGATGAAGATGCAACATTACGGACATTGTCCGTCCATCTAGAATCCTGGTTATGAGCTCTACCTTGAGGGTACCCACTGTCACGGTATGCTCCTCCACCAAATGCCCAGCGCTCGTCAAGGCCATTGCGTCGAGCATATCGACTTTCATGAGCATAGTCGGGACTGAGCACTGGGCTGTATCGGCTTGGGTATGCACGTTCACGCTCACCGTGAGTATAATGGGACTCTAAGGCCGGGGAAGTATCCCGCGTGGTGAACTCGCTGTCAATGCGAGGCTCATTGGGTTCATAATAGTTGCGAGGTTGCAGACTGGCATAGCGGTGATTGTGAGAGTCACGGTGGTAGAAGACATCATGGGAGTGGAGAGCATCATGCTCAATCATAGGAGTTTCATCACGCAGATAAACTTCACGACGGTGCATGGCGTCATGCATGTACCATGGCTCACGAGAATGACTATGAAGAGGTCGATGAGTGTCATATAAGGCATTGCGAGGGTCACGACGAGGCTCGTGAGAGTTGCGAAGAGGGCCACCCTCGCGAGGGTCGTTGCGAGGGTCAGGAGTGACCTCCCGATGAGGTTCCTGTGGGTGGCGTGGAGGGTTACCCCTGTGAAGGTCTTGCTGGACACCCTCACGAGGATCATGACGTACGGGGAGCTTGTGATGAACTTGGTGTAGGTCGTGTGGAGGGTCGTGGGGGTCACGAGAGTCGCGAGCAGCATCGTGAAGATCCTCGATGGGTTTGGTGATCTGAGGCGGTTCCTGCTTGGTTCCTGCTGGCCTGTCGTCATGCATTACCTCAGTCAAGCCTTCCTGTAAAGATTCTGCGGGGACGTTGACTAAACCAGGGGAGATGGCACTCTCGGTAACCACAACTTCAGATTCATCCGACCGGCTGTAGGCCATGCGAAGAACACGCTTCATTTTGCCTTTGGATGCCTTGGCGATTGGGCGTGGTTTGACCGAAGGGTAGATAATCATTAGCTATGTTACGAGAAAAATTTGATTGAAAATAGCTTACCCTTGGTCCGCTCATCAGATGGTCCATCCCGAAGTCGCGCTGGCGCCACAGCTATCAGCCTTGAGTCAAATGGAGTCAAGTTAGAATAAAGTGTACTCACTTCCAGGTTCCGGTGATGCCGCCACACTCGATGACCCCACTGTCAATGGGGACAGAGGACCACCCTTTGTTGGAGAGGTTGTTGAGGTCGGCATGGGAGGTACTTTGTCTGGTTTCGTCTGAGCCCGTGTCCTTTTCTTCCCCGCTTTTGAAGCGTCAGTCTTCTCCTCGGATGAAGCTAGCTTCTTCAACGCACGCGACGTGTTTGTGGCCTTGAGTTTCCTCTTTTTCCCGCGCGCTTCTTCATACTCAGTATCCGACTCTTCAACAGCATTCTCCTCGGTTGAAGTCAGTTCGATAACCTCGCTCTCTGCTGCAGCTGGTTCTGGCTTTCGAACAGTTTTGACTTGGCGTGGGTTTGGCGGTACAACAACTTTGAACGGGCGCAAGGGCAGTGGTGGAGGTAGGTCTAATCGTATGGTAGGTTTTCGGAACTTGGGAGCAGCAGGTACTGCCGGGCGATCGTCACCCAAATCATTGTCGTCGTCATCATTGGAGGGTCGAAGAGGTGCCTGAGGTGCCTTATCAGTGGCTTTCTTGACTTTCGTAGCTGCACCGCTAGGCTGGAGACGAGCTGGGCCGTGATAGTCAGTATCGCCATTAGCAAATAGCCGTCGAGCGCCATCATGTGACCATTCAGGTGGTGGCGCTATGCCAGTGATGACTGGCCTCTCAGAGGCCATCACAGCCGCTACATATGAGGTTAAAACCTGAAAGTTCATAGTATAACATAAACAAAACTCACCTCGGTGCACCTTATCAACTTTGACGACTAGCATAGTTCCTGCCTTCAACCCATCTACGAGCGCTGCAATTTCCTTCTGCGTCAGCGCTCCGATGCCCTTGTTCCTTGAGTTTTCATTGTGAGCTTCACCGGGCAAAAGGCACTTATGGGCAGGATAGCCTCTGATGCAGAGGTTGGCATCAGCAAGGGCGCTGGACATGCCCTTCCAAGGGAAATTTTTATCCCAGGCGCACTTGCCCCCAAGTTGGGCTATTCGTAGTTTAGGTCAAATAGATAAAAGGAGTAGCGACGTTCTAACGTACCAACTTGTCTGATAAGTTCGAGTTTGATCCATTTCAAACCGTCATCCCGTCCCTCGGGAGCCTGAGATTGGTCACGATCATGGTTCGGAGTCGAGTTTGGGGTCGAAGGGTCATTGCGAGTGCCATCGTTGAACGCATCATCCACTGCATTCAAAGATGTACTATTACTGTTTCGATGTAAGTCATAGCATAAACGTAATTTATCTTTACACTTACTATACGTGCGCCTTGAGATGCCCGACAATGGCATCATCGCTTGCGTGACATCGTGTCTCCCAGAACTGTATCTTTAAGCATACATCAAGACGTAGAGCACAAAAAACTTACCCCTACAGCGCCTGGTGTATTATACGAGTGGCCAAGTGAGCCATCTTCGTTGACCACTTTGCCGCAGAGAACGACAGCCACTTCAAAGCCAAATTTAACAGCGGCAGACTTGAGCTATGATGACGACATGAGGGAATGAGAGAACGTCGGGTGAAAAAAACATACTATCTGTATCACTCTTCGATAATGTTTTTGGAAGCCCTGTCCACGCTGGGCTATCGTTTGAGGTGAAGATCCAAGGAGTGATGCCTCCTCGTGCATTAGCAGGATATCTTGGTAAGAATCAGAATAAACCTCTTTGAATTTGTCGTAACATTGTGTCCGCACGGTTACACCTATAAGGGACATTAACCTCCTGCGCAACAAGTTATAATATGACACCTACTAGGTGTGCCACCTCCAGCGGGAGCTTCTCTGCCGATGCGCGCAAGCTCCGTCTGGACATGCTCTTTGAAGTAGTTGGCATATAGGTTCCAATAATTAGTGCCGTTTACGGTGCGTCCGCGACTCTTCAAGAACAAGTTGATTAATTGAGAAATCGGGAGTGTGGTGGATGCAGATAGTTCGAGAAAGCAGCGCTCTACTGCAGCAAACCCGACGTCTAGTGCTGCATTCAACTCTGCAGATCTGCGTCCAGTAACCGTAAGTCCTTCTTGATGGGTCACCGGCTCGTGCTCCTCGGGAAAGCGTTCATGAGAGGCAGAAGGATAGCCTTCTAAGTCCATCTGCGAACTGGAACCGCTCAGCAAAGTACCAATAGTATTTGTCGAGGTGGTGGTGTTGGTCTGGCTGCCACCATCCTTGAATGGCGTTGGTGGAATGATATTTGTGGTTGGGAGGGGAAGCGAATGATCATGAGACGACGACGACGATGGAACTGGCTGAAGGATGAACAGCGAGGCTTCGCCAGAAAAATCCTCCGTAAAGCCAGAAGGGTATTGGCCTGTAGCATGAGGATCTAGTGAGCATCCACGAGAAGCCATTGGTTGACCCGAAGAACTCGCAGGAAAAGTGTAACTTGGTGGAGGTGCTAGGCGCTCCATGCCCTGTGCGGTGAGCTGATTTTGCGATCCTCCAGCTAAAAAAGACTCAGACCCCATCATGCTAAAGGTGTCAGAATTAGAGTCTATCCACGCGCGTTGCTGGTCCATGGAACCAAAAAAAACATCCTGGAGCTGTGCAGGAACCTGTGGGGCAGGAAATGGTGAGGCATGGCGACTACTAGCCGCGTGGACCATTGGCGATGACGTTTCGCTTGTTGAAGTACCACCTGGCACCACATGAGGTAAGTCTGGTGCACCAGGGTGCGCAGATATGGGATCTTGACTTCCCACAGTGCGGTTTTGATAGGCCTGGCGGCGGGTAGATGCACCTTTGACAAGGCCGACGTCCCGCGCTGTGGCCTTGAGCTTACTCCTGAGCCGCGAGGGAGTCAGCTCAACAGGGGGCGTTGCACATCGACGGCCGCCGCCAAACTGCTCTTGCATGTAATCGAAGGTATCGGGGGATAGACCCATGTAGCTCGGGTGAGGAGACGACAGGTCATCGGGGATGTTTTGGGTCATGTCTACAGTATGTAGTCAATGATAAAAGAAATATATGAGAGCACGCCTACTTGTACAATATGCAGTAGAGCACAATTTTTTGTAGACTGTCTGTTGGGCAGTTTGCGCAAGATATCACAGAGTAAATCAGATAGGAAATCGGAAGGGGCACGAAAAAAAACCAGCAGTGCCCTGATACTTATGAGGCTGATTTGAGCTGATGCGGACTAAACAAGTTAGAATGGTATAATAGCACAGAATTAAACAAACGTAAGACATTGAAATTTGTTCGGATAGGTAACCAAGGCCGACAAGTTCATGAGGGTGCGAGTGAGGCTCTAGTGAGGCTCTCAGGAGTTCGACAGGCTAACAAGAGGGTTCAGAATGAAGTGAATGAGGATAACATTATACATAATGCCAAATGACTCACTTTGCAATCAAATATTCGAGCTGGCGGTTCCATTGAAATGAGTTCGATCGTGTTGTTCAGAACCAGTAAAGCTAGTGTTATTCTGTGAGTACGTTAAGAAGTGAAAGCAGGAGACTTACCGGCAGATACCCAACCAAGACAGACAAGTTCATGAGAGTGAGTGAGGGTCTAAGGAGGCGCGAGAGGCTAACGAGAGGGTTCAGAACAAAGCAAATACAGATAATGTTGAGCATAAGGATGATGCGAATATACATAATATCGAACAATGAGTTCAATCATGTCGTTCAGAACCAGTGAAATTAGTGGGATTCTGTGAGTAAGTTAAGGAGTGATGAGGCAGGAAACTTACCGGCAGGCACTCCTATATTTGCAGGATCCCATCATGATGATCACGACTCGAGTACGAGATTCCTGAATCCTGAATTTCGAATGTTAACACCTGGAGCGATAACAACTAATAATAAGTGCGACCCAAGACACCGGGAACTGCACAGGCATCAGCGATCAAGCACAGATAAGCGCTCAGGATGGTTGTATGTAGAAGCAGCGAGATATCAAATATGCCGAGTGGAGGTCCAAGAGGCTACAGAAAGGCCGCGAAATGAATATCATCTTGCGACTAAAAATAACATTGTTGAAACCGTGAGTCTACTTCTGTTGCCACGTCAGAAATTAAAATACGAATTCGAAAAGATTTGTTGTACTAACATGCTATCTACATCATTTGAAAACATTAATATTCAATTATTTGCTGTTATACCGTCTGAGACGCTTGGCAGGCCGATGATCGCTCTCACTAGCATCTGACTCCTCATCTAGAGTCTCATCATCAACATATTCAGAAGAAGATGCAGACCACTCGGCGGCAGTGATTGGAGGAATAAGATCTGTGGTGTGAGCGATGGACGGTGTTATTGCTTTGGAGGCCGCTCTAGAAGCTGGACAGGGTGGCAAGCGTGATATGGTGTGAGTGGTGGATGGTGGTATTACTTTGGAGACTGCCCTAGAAGCTGGCCGGGGTGGCGGGCGTAATATCTCTACAAAGACCTGAACATGACGACGAGTAGGGGATGTAGCAGGACAAGCAGCACGTGTAGAAGGACGAGCGGCACGTGTAGAAGGACGAGCGGCATGTGTAGAAGGACGAGCGGGAGGTGTAGAAGGACGGGTGGGAGGTGTAGAAGGACGGGCGGGAGGTGTAGAAGGATGAGTGGGTGGTGTAGAAGTGGGAGGTGTAGAAGGGGGAGAGGCAAGACGGCGAGGACCCTTGCAGTCAATGTCACCATTAGCAAACACACGTCGCCCACGGGAGTAGATCGATCGATGTGAGGGTGCTTCTCCAATAATAACTGGGTCCGTAGACATCGTAAGGCGTGTGCGAGCAGCATCATTCGTCACAACTCGAATGGTGAGGGTGCCCATCTTGAGCGCATTGACAAGATTGATACGATGAGGAAGGGTCAGATCATGGACGCCTTTGCTCCGAGAGAGCGTAGGTCGAGTCTCGCCGGGC